GCTTTATTCATTAACCAATAAAAGCCACACATATACAGAAGGACTTCCCATACCAAGGTACCAACTTAATTTTTTGCACATGGATACTAATTTTTCTAGTATGTTTATAGAAACAATTTTCTGACCTGCTGACACCCTTGTTGAAGATCATGACCACACATGCCAAGCTTTTCTTTGAGATCCCATTTATCCGTGTCTGTCTTTATGTCTGTGCTTCATTATTTTGATTACTGCAGTTTTGTAGTAAATTTTGAAATGAGGAATTATGAATTCTTGAGGTTTGTTCTTTAAATGTTTTGGCTATTTAGGGTTATTCGAAATTTCATATTTTATCATGACCTTTTTTATTTCTGCAAAAACCTTGAGATTTTGGTAGAGTTTACATTGAATGTATAGATTGCTGTGGGCAATATTAACATTTTAACAATTCTGATTCTAGTCCATGAACATACGTGTTTCCTTTTTTTTTAAATTGTCTTCATTTCTTTTCAGTAGTGTTTGGTTGTTTTCACTGTACAAGCTTTCTGTCTTCTTGATTAATTTTGAAATTTTTTTTTTGTGATGCAGTTGAAAATGTAACTAAGATCCTTAAAATTTAAAAGCATTTATTTTTCTTGAATTAATTCTAGAAGGTAATTTACGTTTGTCTTATTGTTAAGTATGTATCTTGAAACTCTTTGTAGTTTCCGTGTTCCATTTGATAGCTCTCAGTGTCGCTTTTAGCATGTTCAGGCCACTCAGAGTCAGCAGTCTGTGAAGTAAGTGGGACAGTGATGTAATCTGAGACTCGGTAGACATTTTAAATGTCCTTATGCTCTGGACAGTTGGGGTCTTACTCCTTGTTTGGGTGGTAGAAGAAAACCCTTTGCCTTTCAACCCCTAGATCCAGAGGGGCCACATTAGCAGGATCAGTATTAGGATTAGTGAAGAGACTGAGTTCATTTTTCTTTTTATAAACTTGTTGTTTGTGATTTCTTTCATATTTATCCTGAATGGGTTTTAACCTTTCTCTTTAGATTGATACCTTTGTGGGGCTGGATTCCTCTTGATTTTCTTTATAGATCTTTAAAATTTCTTTTCTCCTTTTTTAGGTCTTTTAACTTCCAGTTGAGATTCTTACTAAAATTTGCCTGTTATAAAAATATTATGTAGTCTCAGAAAATGTAGACCTTGGAAAGAAAATGGGATTTAAAAATTTCTCACCACCCAGGAAGGGTCACTGTTGTTAAAACAATAGTGTAGGAGAGTTTAGTTTTGGCTCTCCTTCATTTAAAACATAAAATCAGTAGAGAACTCAGGTAAACTAAACTTTCCCACAGTCCTCTATTTGTTTATGTAAAGTAACTATGCCGTATTGATATGTTATGAAAATAAAAATACAGCAACATTGAATGTCCATGGTTGATCCTTGAAACCTTTTATCAAAGGAAGTCACATTTTAAGTTAATTTTTGTTACTTATTAACTTGCTCTTATTTTTGATGAACGTTTGCTTAGTTATTTCATGAAGTCTTTATGTTGGGCTAAGTTTTATTTCCTTTAGAAAAAAACAGATACTACTTACTACTAAGGTTTAGGGTTCAGAGAATATGTTTTAGATAAAAAGATTGCAATGCAGGTCAGCTTTACTACTCTGCCACTCTAGCTAGCATAGTCCATCAAATTTTATTCACTCTGTGATTGCTTTAAGATATATTATTATTGGAAGAAATAAAGTTGAGTATACTAGTACATGCCTGCATTCCTTGAACTTAGGGAACTGAGGCAGGAGGATTCTTCCAAGTTGGAGTCCAGGATGGAGTGACAACCCAAGCTATACCCTATCTTCAAAATAAAAGCCAAATAAAAAGATACGCTATTTTTATTCTGGACAAAAGAAGAAAATACTAATTAAATTTTGCCAAGAATCCTGAGTATTTTATCCAAATTGCTATTTTGTATCTATTATCTCTGTGAATATATGAAAATTTAAATTTCACTCCTCTGAATTACATTTGAATGATCATTATTTGATGTTTGTGTTTTCCATGTACTGTCATCCTCTAATCATTAAAAACAGTAATGAGGCATTGTGGTCAATTGGCTGGCTGGCTGGCTGGGTGATTGGTTGGCTTTTTGATGGGATCTTGCTGCAGTATTCTAGGCTAGACTGACAATGCCGCACTGAGGTCCAGCATTTCTTAACAAGTACTCCAAAATCCTCGCTAAGATCTTGGAAGATAACGATTCTCGTTTTGCAGGTGATAATGCTGATGTGTAGCACAAATTCTAATTGTTCTTTAAAAAAAAATCTTGGTGGTGAAAGCTGAGAGATCCGAGAAGCAGAGCAACCAGCCACTCTACCAGTGCTCATACTAAAGGGGCGATCCTGTCCTCAGACTGCATGAGCTCCTGTCTCCTCCTGCCTTATATTCCCCTCTCTGCCAAGCCATATCCTTACTGTCTCCACCTCCCAAGTACTGGGATTAAAGGTGGCAGCCACCATTGCCCCGCTGTTTCTCTTTTAAACTGGATCAATTTTGTATAGCCCTGCGTGGCCTTGAACTCACAGAGAGGTCCTTCAGCCTCCCTAGAGGTGGGATTAAAGGTGTGTGCCACCACTGCCTGAACTCCAGTGTCTTAGATCTTTAGGCAGACTTTATTTGCTAAAACACAAACAAAAGATCACCACACTGATGCTCTCTTGAAAGTTCCACATAATAGAAAAGTTTTAATTATGTAGGACTCACATTGCTTCTTCATAAGATCCTTAAAAAAGTTTAGAGTCTGAGAGACCAAGGAATTGTAATTGTTTGACACTAAGGACACATGGAATTTGTGATGCAGGAATGGCTACATGGTAACACAGTCCTGGCCAACAGCCATTATAAAATGACACTGACAGAAACATCTCCCGCTTCACCAATTTCAGAGAGTGTGTGTGTTCTATTTCTGTGAGGGGACACCATGGCCAGGGAAACACTTAATAAGGAAAACATTTAATTGGGGCTGACTTAACAGATTCAGAGGTTTAATTCATTATCATCAGGGTGGGAAACATGGCAGGAAACATGGCTGCACACAGGCAGACATGGTGCTGGAGAAGGAGCTGTGAGTTTTATATCTGGATCCACAGGCAGCAGGAAGAGAGCAACACTGGGCCTGTCTTGAGCATTTGAAAATCTTAAAGCTGACCCCCAGTGACAGACTTCCTCCAGCAATGCCACACCGCCTAATAATGCCACTCCCTATGAACCTATGGGGTTGGTTTTCATTTAGACCACCACTCCTGTTTGTTTATATTCTCTGTTGAAGGGGAGGTAATAAAATACCTGGTGTTCAAAGGATTAAATAATATAGTAATAATTATAGCTAATACTTTTGAATTCTTACTATATATGTCAGCTATAGTAAATGTTTGTATGCATTTTAAGCCTAGTTAATATGTATTATCTAGTTCTCACAAACTTGCAAGGTGTAGGTAAACATCAATGGTAATGGAACTAAAACAGGGATTTTTAAAAAGTTGCTGTAAGCAACACAGCTTGGAAGTGACATCGCAGTTTGTGAGCCCTTAGCAGTTGAACCAGTGCTGGGCAGTGAGTGCTGTCCTCCTGGCATGGAAAGCACAGAATGCGTTAGTCCTTTGCATAGCAAGTGCAGTTTATTTATTTTTTGAAACAGTCTTGCTTTGTAGCTCTGACTGGCTTGGAATTAACTGTGTAGACTGAACTGGCCTCAAACTAGTTGTTTCTCCTATCTTTGCCTTCCAACTGCTAGAATTGCAGATGAGAACTACCTCACCCAGCCTGCATAATTAATATTTATGTTTAAGTTACTTTTTAAAAATAGTGTTTAAGAGAATGAGAAACCACAGGCTGGGAGAACATAAGCTAACGGTTTGAAAACTCTTAAAACTCAATATTTAGAAATTACAAAAACCAAAACAAAACATGAACAGCTGCCTCACCAAAGAGGATATATAGAGATGTCCCACATATGTCTAAAGGGAATTATGATTTGAAACACACCCATAAGTCTTTTGGTAATTACACAGGCAGCACTGGGATGTGGAGCGGTATTCTCATTCATTGCTAGTAGGGATGCAAAACGACACAGCCACTTTGGAATCCAGTGTGGCGGTTTTCTGCAAAACTCAGCCAACTGTTCCAGCAGCTATGCTGTTTGGTCGTTACTCAATAAGTTGAAAACCATCTATACTGATGTTTTTACCCACATGGGTAATTCATAGTTTCCAAACTTGGGAACAGCATATATCATTAATTAGGTGAAAGAGTAAACAAACTGGTCCATCCAGAGTGGAAGAGTATTTAGTACTGAAAAGAAGTGAGCTCTCAAACCCTGAGAAGAGCTACTGGAACATTAAATATATATAACTAAATAAAAGCCAATCTGAAAATTCTGTAATTCTATGTTATTCTGGAAAAGGTTAAAAGAAAAGGTAGCAAAAGATAAGTGGTTGTCAGGGGAGATAGAGAAGAATAGCTGGGTACACAGTATTTTTAGGGCAAGAAAACCTATCTGTATGATCAAATGGTGGCTATATTTCATTACACATTTGTTAGATCCCTTAGAATGTGAAGCACCAGGACTGAACCATAATGTAAGCTGTGCGTAGAAGTGGTAATGGTATGTTAATGTAGGCTCTTTGGTTTCAGCAAATGTGCCAGGCTGGTGTAGACTGTGAGGTGGAGTTCTGGGGGATCTTTGTGCTTCTGCTTAATATTGTTTTGAACCTAAACATTTTCTTTTTAAAAAAAATTAGAGATGGCTCAGAGGTTAAGAGCACTGACTGCTCTTCCAAACGTCCTGAGTTCAATTCCCGGCAACCACATGGTGGCTCACAACCATCTGTAATGAGGTCTGGTGCCCTCTTCTGGCCTGCAGTCATACACACAGACAGAATATTGCATACATATTAAATAAATAAATATTTAAAAAAAAAAAATTAAAAGTAAGTATTTAAAGTGCGACAGACATTTCTGATACTTTTATTTTCAGGCCCAGAATAAAGAGACCAATGTTTTAGCTGCTGCAAAGGTGATTGACACCAAATCTGAAGAAGAACTTGAAGATTATATGGTTGAGATCGACATATTAGCATCTTGTGATCACCCAAACATAGTCAAGCTTCTAGATGCCTTCTATTATGAGAACAATCTTTGGGTACGTACTTTTTGTTCCTTTACAGGTAGCCGAAATGAGTTAATTGTCCTAAAAGGGTCGTGAAAACATATTTTGTACGTTACCTCTTCCATTTAGTTACTTGCAAACTTGATTGAGGGTTGATCTGCTAATGAGAGTCAGTAACAAGATAACGATTCTCAGTTCATGGATGTTCAGCTTTAGTTTCAGATTATACCATTTCATACCATTGTTTGACACTGGATCTAGGTGGGAGAGATAAATTTCTAAAATATGTCTGTGTTTGTAATTTCAATAGTTTAAGTATTAAATATTTTTGAAGGACTTTCTTTCTTTCTTTCTTTCTTTCTTTTTTTTTCTTCTTGGTTTTTTGAGACGGTTTCTCTGTCAAGCCCTGACTGACTTAGAACTCACTCTGTGAACCAGGCTTGCCTCAAACCCAGAGACCACCTGTCCTGCCTCCTGAGTGCTAAGATTAAAGGAGTGTGCCACCATTGCCCACTGACGGTTCTTTTTTCTGTTATTTATAATTTTTATCCTAAAGTTTTTATAAATCATGCAATACTATAAACTGTGAGAATATTAAATTTCACATTAGGCTCAGCCTTCCTGCATGATGAAATGGTTAAAATTGTATACATTTTGTTTATTTTTAAGAAAATAGGTATAAATAGGTAAAGCAATAATACTTTAATATTTACTTGAACTAACAGTTTTATCAAGAGTTTTTTTATAAATTAAAAAATAGTGATTTATGTGTGTTTTATCTGTATGTATATCTGTATACCATGTGCATTCCTGGTTCCTGTGGAGGCTGGAAGAGGATATCAGATCTGAGATGGGTGTGAACTTTCATGTGGGTCCTGGGAATTGAACCTGGGTCCTCTGGAAGAGCAGTCAGTGAGTGCTTTTAACTGTTGCGTGGTCTCTCCAGCCTCTCAAGAAAGCTGACAGCTTCTTATAAAATAGAGTTTTAGATGTTTTTCTTAAAATAATGACTATCTGGCTTGAAATCAAAAGTCTGTTCTTTGAGATGCAGCTGCTGCCAGTTAGGACCTTGGTTAAGTAAGCTCATTCTCGAGTCTTTGTTTCTCTGAAGGATGAAAAAAGAATTAGCTCCCGAATTATTTTTCACTTGAAAATAAATATAATCAGCAAACACTTATAAAAATATTGTAGTAGCCTGGTGTGGTGATACACACCTTCATTGAAGCACTCAGGAGGCAGAGGCAGGTGGTTTCAGTTTGAGGCCAGTTTGGTCTGCATAGTGAGTTCCAGAACAGCCAGTGGTATATAGAAATATTCTGTCTCGAAAAATAAAAACAAAAACAAAACAAAAAAATTTTTAGCAAGAGGGAAGATGTATAGAATTACACTACTTATTAAAATATTATTTTTTAAAAGTATAGTTATTATTGGTCTAATGTCTCTTAAAATAATTGTTCAGGGCTCTAGCCTGAATTATAAGAAAAACTCCTCGACATTAACAGATATGCCTTTACTTGACACTGTTGCAAAATAAAAATTTGGTTTACTATGATGTACAGTTTAATGGGAGACATAGATATAAATAGAATAATCATAGTACAAAATTATAACTAGTAAAGTGAAGAAGGATGGGTACATGATGGTGATAATTGAGTTTGAATCTGTGTGTTATGTTGCTTGCCTGTCTGCCTGCTTTCTCCCTTCTTTTCTCTCTCTCTTTTAAATTAAAATGGCTGGAGAGGTGGCTCAGTGCTTAAAAGCATGTACTGCTCTTGCAGAGGACCCAAGTTTGGTTCTAAACACCACATTAGGTAATAATGTGCTTGTAACTGTAGCTCCTGGTGACCTGACACTCTCTTCTGGCCTTCAAGAGCACTTGCACTCATGTGCACATACCACTGCAGAAGTACATGAACATTAGCATAATTAAAAATAAAATGAGTCTTTAAAATAAGCCTGCTTTTTTTAAAGTTTTTTTTTTTTATTGAAAGTTAAACAATATATTTGGTCACTTAACATTGCATCAGCATTTGGGAGGCGGAGGCAGGAGGATTGCAGATTTGAGTCTATCCTGTTCTATAGGAAAACCTGACTCAAAAAAAAAATGAAGAAAAGGAAAAGGGGAAATAGTATGTACTTCTATCATACTGTGCGTGTGCAGAAGAACATCTGTAACTGACTTGTAACTGACGGCAGGGGATCCTTCTTGTTTAGCATGACACTGTTCCTAGAGCCTAGATAAACCAGTAGCTTTTCATTTATCTGTCTTGCTAAGTTTCTGACGGTTGGTGTAATTACAGATACATGTTTTTGTTTATGTGCAGATCCTCATTGAATTTTGTGCAGGGGGAGCAGTAGATGCTGTGATGCTTGGTAAGTACCTCTGTTCCTATGTTTGCTTCTTAGATTGTCTCAGATAGAAGGATTGTAGAAGGAGCTGCTTGTTCATCCTGGCCCCCCCAGAACTGAAATAACCACACAGAAACTGTATTAATTAAGTCACTCTTGGCCCATTAGCTCTAACTTCTTATTTGCTAACTCTTGCATCTTAATTTAACCCATTGTCATTAATCTGTGTATCGCCACGTGACTGTGGCTTACTGGCAAGATTCTTACCGGCATCCATCTTAGGCGGAGGATCCATGGTGTCTCTCCGCCTCTCTTCTTCCTCCCAGTATTCAGTTCTGCCTTCCCCACCTACCTAAGTTCTGCCCTATCAGGCCAAGGCAGTTTCTTTATTCATTAACCAATAGAAGCAACACATAGACAGAAGGACCTCCCACACCAAAGGATCTCAACTATATGTGTACATATGTAATATTAGAGTCCAGTGCATTAAGAAATCAATTTAATTGTATTTTAGATAAGTATAGTTCTGAGATGTAATGTTGAATATTCTATGTCAAGAAATTAATCTTTGTAGAAATTTAGCTCTTTTACAGTAAATGATCTTTGATAAGATCACAGTTGTAGAGTGCACTGAAAATATTTAATTAGCTTTATGTTTTCATTGCATAAAAATACATATATGTATATATTTTTCACTTTCTCCTTATAGAACTTGAGAGACCGTTAACTGAGTCCCAAATCCAAGTGGTTTGCAAGCAGACTTTAGAAGCGTTGAGCTACTTACATGACAATAAAATCATCCACAGAGATCTAAAAGCTGGCAATATTCTTTTTACCTTAGATGGAGACATTAAGTTGGGTAAGTTTTTCAAACATTTGAATTTGTGCTCTGGGATTTACTGTGGAATGTAGTGACTTGATGCTGTTTTGGCCTATACAGACATGTAAAACAGGGAGAATTACTCCCAGCTGCACTTGTAAACACTTCAGTGGTTACACATCCCCCAGTTCTTAGGATTCCTAAGTATATGCACCTAATGCCACACAGAGGAAGTAAAAAATGGTGTGTTTTTATTTTCAGAAGCAGAGACTTGGCAAAGCACTAGTTAGTGTTTCCTCCTGTAAGTTTTTGAACATGGATTTAACACTTGTAAATGCTTTGTATTTGGCTATAATATAACACTAAACTCAATTTTATTTTAATGACAACATATCTAGTAGATTGTTTTTGTTCCACGTTCTTCGACCCAGAGCCTTGAACTTGAGGCAAGTGTTCTCATCACTGAAACTAAAACCCTACCCTCAGTTTCTTATTTTATTGATATGCTTATTAAGCCAACAAGTAACCTTAGGTTTGAAAGTAAAATAAGTTTAAGGACTAGCATCTAATTTTGTCTCTTATACCAAAGGAATGAACGATGTATGTCATAAAAAGAATTAGATGTAAATTTTAGACTGAGGTTAGTTAAGTTCACACATACAAGTAGAAGATACCTTTTAAAAAGTTTTTCTAAGAAGAGACAATTAAAAAAAATTGAACAGTGATGCCTACATTTATGTTTTTTGAAAAAGTAAAGTTATTCAAAAGCGGTATTGATTTCAGTGATTTTTAACCATCGTATTTTACATTGTCATAACATAATGGGACATCAAAATGGAATATGCTAAATTTTATCTCTTACTGTACCATAAAGAGACATGGAAATCCACCAGAAAAGCTGCATAAAATTTTTAGACAAGAGCTTTGAAGTCATTTCTTAAGTGAAGAAGTTAGACTTAGCCAGGTACCCTACAAATCCTTTTACATACACAGCTAATTTCAGTCCCTGCCCTTCCCCTTTCCCACACTCTTTGTTGACCCTCCCCTCCACCCCCCCAAAGGGTTTCTCTGTGCAGCTTTAGAGCCTGTCCTGGAACTTGCTCTATAGATCACACTGGCCTCAAACTCACAGAGATCTGCCTGTCTCCCGAGTGCTGGGATTAAAGGCATGCGCCCTCCGCCCAGCTTTGTGTTGACTTTTTATTAAAACTAATCTGTGTTTCTTTATGGTTCGATTATCCCATATTTGTCTTTAAAGTTTAAATTTGCTCATATATAAATTTTGATTTTTCTTTGCCATCTCTCTAAATTACACATTTCTTCTCTATTCCTCTGTTTACATGGTCGCACACGTTCTCTTTGAATTAACATTGTTCCAACCAAGAGAGCAGTATTTTATTGTTGGGAGGCCAAAAAAAAAAAAATCATAATGATTTGTGACCTCTCCAAAGTCCACAACATGCAAACAGATGCATGGTATATATGTGGTATTAAAATTTTCAGTGACTGGGACGGTTAGAAAAACAGTTCTAAAAAGACTTTGAGGTGGTAGGAATGAAATGCAGAACTTGGATCTGGCCACTAGACCTGTGGCCTTCCCTTTGGCTGCACTTGCTGAATATGTGGTCATGATTTTAGTTTCTTTCTGTATTTCCTTCAGTTAGTAGATGAAGCAAAGGCTTGGTAATGCTTGATGAGTCTCAGGTTTGACGCCTAGATGAGAGCAGGTGGTTGTGTATTGTTCTATTAGCAGAGTGTGAGACTTACCTTCTGCTTTGGTTAGGGTTGTTATTGTTGCTGTTGTTTACACTACTGGGTATTGAGTTCAGCGTCTCACATGTGCCAGAAAAGCATCCTACCAAGACCAGCATCACAAGCTTATTTGTTTTTGAAATCTAGATTTATTCTTTAATTGAGGCTGCAAAATTAATTATACCATTGTTTTCATTTGTTACTTTTGATAGCTTTATAATCAATTAACTCTTCATTTATTACTATAAGTTAACAATTTTATAAGAAGAGATTTTCTTAGTTGTTTGATTATTTGGGACAAAAGCAAAAGAAAATGTTTTATTTAGTTTTTAAGATAATTAGTTGGTTCTTAGTTCTAAGCTAAAATGGTAGGCTTACCCATTGATAAAGTTATAGTGCTGTTGTTTTTAACTTAAATCAGAAACCATAAGGCTTCTCACTTTTTCCTTTGTAATATAATTAAGGTTTTATTTTATTTTAGTTAATCTCACTATTTAGCCTAGAGTAGCTTTAAACTCCAGAGTCTCCTGCCTTTTAGCCTCCCACATATTGGGGTTGCAGGTGTACACCACTGTACTCAGCTCTTGTAGTCTAGTTTTTGAGGACATTGAGGAGATAGAATGTTGTCATAAAGGCTGCTTTGCTGTGATTTCTGGTTTTTTTTCACACTATAGGAAAATACCTCTATTGAGTTAATTGCAGCATACAATGTTTGGCATTTATTTTGAAGTGTATATAAGATTTTAATTTAAAGTGACAGTTTTTTGTCACTGAGGATTTGTCATTTTTACTGTAATTTAAGATGTATCTAGATGGTGGTCAGTGTATTTGTGATAAAATATTGGACACTTTTTGAAAGATGGTGGAAGGATGATGGTTAAGATTAGCATGGTAGGGGCTGGAGAGATGGCTCAGTGAGTGAAGTGCCTGCTGAAATGGGGCCCTGATTTTGGTTCCCAAGAACCTGTGTAAAAGCTGGGCTTGGTGATGGATGCCTGTCACCCTAGTGCTGGCTTGCCAGAAACAGGAGGCATTCTATTGCTCCCTAGCTAGCTAGTCTTGCCAACATGGTAAGCTCCAAGTTCACTAAGACGTATTGTCTCAAAAAGTTAAGAGCAGTAGAGGAAGACACCTGACATTGACCTCTGAACTCCATGAGCATATATTCACACACCCCCGTCATACACACATGAACACATGTATGTACTACACAGTACACACAAACATTAAAAAATATTAGAATGACAGAGAAATCATTTCTCTTTCTGATGTGCTTAACTTTTAATAAGGTTGACCTTACTAAAGACTTGAAATGCTTCTCCCACTCCATTAAACACAATTTGCCGTGCTTAAAAGCTGTCATTAATGTTATTGTATGATTATTTATTTCAAGCGGATTTTGGAGTATCGGCTAAAAACACCAGGACAATTCAAAGGAGGGATTCCTTTATTGGCACTCCATATTGGTAGGTATTCATTTTTATGAATCTATACTATTAGTTGGGTCTGCAGTTATTACTTTTTCCACGCCTAGTCATTATACTGACTGTAGTTTACAATAACTGTTAATTAAACATCTTAACTTTTCATTTTTCTGTCTTCATAGGATGGCTCCTGAAGTAGTCATGTGTGAGACATCAAAGGACAGACCTTATGACTATAAAGCTGATGTTTGGTCCCTGGGTATTACTTTAATAGAAATGGCTGAGATAGAGCCACCTCACCATGAGTTAAATCCAATGCGAGTATTGCTAAAAATAGCAAAATCTGAGCCCCCAACATTAGCACAGCCGTCAAAATGGTAAGCTCTTTTAACAAAGTTTTTAAAGAACCAAAGCTTGATATTTTGTTTTTGTTTGTTTGTTTTGTTTTGTTTTGTTTATAGGGTTTCTCTGTAGCTTTGGAGCCCGTCCTGGAACTAGCTCTTGTAGACCAGGCTGGCCTTGAACTCACAGAGATCTGCCTGCCTCTGCCTCCCAAGTGCTGGGATTAAAGGCGTGCAGCACCATTGCCCAGCTTGATGTTCTGTTCTTTTAGTTTGCTAAGGGTAAGTTTAAGTTTGGAGATGAGGCATGAAGACTGAATGAGGAAACTGAGGTAGGTGTGTTCCCAAGATTTAAGGACCTGGGGAGGTGGCTCAGTGATTAAGAGCACTGGCACCTCTACTGCTTGTGAGGACCAGGGTTCAGTTACCAGCACCCACATGATGACTCACAGCTGGCCATACTTCCAGTCTCTTGGGAGCTGATGCCCTCTTCTGGCCTCTGAGAGTACTAGGCACACAATTGATATATAAATGGCAGGTGCTCACATCTGTACATAAAGTACAAGTACAAGACTTGAGGATCATGGAAACCATTGTAAATTATTTTCCCTGTGTTAGACAGTGTGAGTGAACTGGGTCTGCGTGGAGAAGACGTTTTCTGTACTATAAACAATCAGGCCATGTTCAGTTGATGTGTATTTGTGGAACTTAGTGTAACAACTGTTGTAACATTTTGATAACTTGTAAAGATATGGCTGCCTCTCATTGATTACCTGCTGTGGAATAATCATGTACACTGTATGAATATATGTTGCTATGGTTGGTTTAATAAACAAGCTGACTGGGCAATAGCTGAACAGGATAAAGTTAGGTAGGAAAGCCAAACTGAGAATGGTGGGATGAAGGAGGGCAGAGTCAGAAGAGTTGTCACCCCAACGGAGAACAAGTCAGACACACAAAATGGGATAGTGGTAAAAGCCATGAACCTTGGGGCAACACATAAATTAATAGAAATGGGTTGAGTTGTAAGAGCTAGTTAGTTAGTAATAACCCTGAGTTATTGACCAATTATTTATAATTTATATTAAGCCTCCAAGTCAGTTGTTTGTGAAGCAGTTGCCAGTTATTTGGGAGCAAGCGGTCAGGACAGGAAAACTCTGCCTCCAATCAGCAGTGTGCCTTATTACATGTATGTCTAACATGTATTTACAGAATACTTTTCATAAAATCTTACTCTTATTAGTTCTCTTATCATTATACTAAATCAATACTAATTTATACTAAGCATAATGAAGCTAAACATAATCTTCTTTTGGCGGGAGGGAGGGTTTTCGAGACAGGGTTTCTCTGTGTAGCTTTGGAGTGTGTCCTGGAACTCGCTCTGTAGACCAGGCTGGCCTCAAATTTACAGAGATCCACTGCCTCCTGAGTGCTGGGATTAAAGGTGTACGCTACCACTGCCTGGCTACTAAGCATGATCTATTAAAGAATTTAGTTTGATTTTTTTTTAAATAATTATAAAGTAAAATAAAGTGCCATTGTTGATATTTTATTCTTCAGGTCTTCAAATTTTAAGGACTTTTTAAAGAAGTGCTTGGAAAAGAATGTAGATGCCCGGTGGACCACAGCTCAGCTGTTACAGGTAAGATGAGGGTAGTGTGACACCAGCAGGTCAGATTGTTTTAACATTGTGTCCAAAAGAATACCTCTGCACATGTGCACTGCACATCCGTGAACACTGCACATGCATGCACACAAATGATATAAGGTGGTTAGATAAATTTGATTTTACTTTAAAGCAGGGTCTGTTCCTTATATTTGAAATAAAAATGTGTCAAATAATATTATAGATAAATAAAATAACAAATCTTAGGGCAGTTGCTGTAAGGATGTGTGTTGTGTAATGCTAGGATGGTAGTGTTTTAAGCTGACATGTTTATCTAAGGAGAGGTTGTAGGAAAAATTTCCTTTCTGTGTTCAACAAGTATATTTCTATGTCCCTAAAACACTTTTTCCAGTATTTCCTTACTCCTGTAGTTGAAGATCTTAGCCTATAACAGACTGTTAGTCAGGGTTCTCTAGAGAAACCAAATTAATAGAACTAATCTCTGTATATAAACAGCTTTTGTTAGAGTGGTCTGACTATTCCAGCAACGGCTGTCTCCTGATGGCAAGTCCAAGAATCAAGTAGTTGTTCAGTCCACAAGGCTGGGTGTCTGAGCTGTCTTCAGTGTGTGCTAGAATCCCCCAGAAGTAGGCTTTAATGCTAGTGAAGGAATGGGCCTGGGGTGACTTTCAGAAGTTGGTTTTCTCCTTCCACTATGTGGGTGCTGACTGAACTCAGGTCTTTAGTTTGGCAGCAAGCACCTTTACCCACAGAGCCATCTCATTGGCCTCTTTTAGTTATTTTTAATGAAGTGATGCTTAAACTTACAACTTGCTTTAAATTTTAATTTAAAAATTATTTATGAAACTTTTCAAACATACAGAAAAACCAAATTGTAATTTCTACTCAGCCATAATAAGTCGCTTTAATTTTTGACAAATTCCTTCAAATTACTAAAATGAGACAAAATATAGCGTCTTCAAGAGGGCTCAGTAAAGGGACCTGCAAACAAGCCTGGTAAACTGAGTTTGATCTCCACGATCCACAGAGTAGAGAAAACTGGCTGCCAAAGTCTGACTCCACATGCACACTTACACACACTAAATAACTAAAAGCTAAATTGTACAAAACAAAATAAAATCCAGTTCGAATAGTCTTTACTTTTGCTCACTTTCCTCTCCCTTTTTCTTGTGTATGTTTTTCATATCCACAATTCATTTTTTGACACAGAAGGATCTACTTATATGTTCAAATTTACAAGCATTTCAGTTGTCATTGAACATGCTTTTTTTGTGTGATTAACAGCATCCCTTTGTTACTGTTGATTCCAACAAACCAGTTCGAGAATTGATTGCTGAGGCAAAGGCTGAAGTAACAGAAGAAGTTGAAGATGGCAAAGAGGAAGATGATGATGAGGAAACAGAAAATGCTCTGGTTAGTGTCACTGAGGGTGTTTCCTTAGTAGAGTTTTAGAGATAGGTTTGAGATGTGGCTGCACATGTGTCCGAGGGGAACAAATGAGGCGGTACAAAACCTTCAGTTTTAGAAGTGAAGTTGGTAACTAAGTTTCTCTTGTCACCTATTTTCATTCTCTTTATTATTGAAGACTGTCACTTTTTAAAGTGACTTACATAATTTCAAGTTTTATAGAATATAGCAATTAAATTTTACACATGTGAGTATAGATATATAAAGCCATTTTGATGATCATCTTGTGGTCATGTTTTAATACTAATGATGTATAAAATCTTTTTTAGCCAATACCTGCAAATAAACGTGCCTCCTCTGACCTCAGTATTGCCAGCTCTGAAGAAGATAAACTTTCACAGAATGCTTGTATTTTGGAATCTGTATCAGAAAGAATAGAACACAGTACTCCTGGTGATAAATTTAGCAGCAGAGTTGTTAATGAAAGATCTGCCACTGAGGAACCTGAGAAGGCTGTGGAGGGTGTTAATGAGCATGCAGGTGATTCTACCATAGAGACGATGGCTGAATTCAATGATCAGACAGTAGGAATCCATGAGAATGGGAGAGAGAAGAGACCCAAGCTGGAAAATCTACCTGACACAGAAGACCAACAAACTGTGGGTGTTAATTCAATTTGTGGAGGAAATGAGGGTGATAGAGTAACTTCAGAAGTTAATACTAACCATCTGAAACCAGAGGACGACAGGAGTAAAGAAAACCAGGAGATACCTGAGAATAAACTTACACAGCCTGAAGTAATTAAAGATATGCATAGTCAAACAATGGACTTGGTGTCTCAAGAGACTGGAGAAACAGAGGCTGATTTTCAGGCCGTTGACAATGCAGTTGGGTTGACAGAAGACACCCAAAAGAAACGGGGAGAAGATGATAAAGCTCAAAGAGTTGTAGTCAGCAAGTCAGGGACAAACGAGGCACTAGATGCTGCAGAGACGGCTGCTGAAGGTGGCAACCAGGATGTACAGAGTGCTGATGGGAAGGGCGTAGTGGAAGGAGCCCCCAAGTCAGCAGGGAAGCCCACCGAGGACCCTGAGGCTGATGGTGCTAAGGAAGAGCCTTCTGTTCAAGAAAGAGTTGAGGAGAAGGAGCTAGGTCAACAGTCTGAAGTGTCAGACACCACACAGGCAGCCATTGAGGAACCAGGGACAATTGAGGTTGAGCAAGTTAGTGAGTCACGTAGCACTGAGGAGACAGAGAGGAGTGCCTTGACTGGTGGTGCTGAGGAAGCGGCTCTCGGAAGTGAAGCTGAGGCCGCTGCTACTGAGGTAGAGTTGGAGAGAAAAGAAACTGCACAGGAAGTGCTGGTTAAAACAGATCCCCAAGCCCCTGCAACCTCGCAGCCCAATGAGCCTCATCCTGTCCTAATACCTAGTATCAATATTAACTCTGAAAACACAGAAAATAAAGGAGAAATAAATGCTTTCCCAAAAACTGAAACCATACTGTCACACGAGCCTGACAATGAAAAGGAAAATGATACTGACTCAGGGACTGGGTCCACTGTGGAGAACAGTAGCAGTGACTTGAATTTGTCCATCTCCAGCTTCCTAAGCAAAACGAAAGACAGTGGGTCAATGTCTCTACAAGTAAGTGTGCCTGGGGCCTTGCTTGGATTTTGCTTTGCCATTTTGGTAATTTCTAGTTCATTGCTATCTTAAAGCACTATTAAATCTGTGTAATATTAACCATATGAATTCTTTTGGGATCATAAGGTAATCAAAAAGAACTGGAGAGAGAGATTCTGGGAATTATCTTTAAAGATTTTTGATAGTGCCTACTCATTTTTGCAAATATGGGTACATGGGTAGATAAACAGGACAGGATAGTTTCTTGGTCTCATTTAGTGTTTTTTGCACATATCTGGATGCAATCTTAGCAAGCATTACTGCTATCCCAAAGAACGAGAAACTGAAAAGTGTTTCAAGGTATGAGTAATCCTTAACCACTGGCTCCTGTAGATGTCCACCTTTGTTTCTTTATTCCTAGTAATTAATACTGCCATGATGGGGAAATCAAACCCCAAAATATCACCCTGCACTTGGAACCATTAGAGCATAATTCTCAAATCTTGGGTACTTAGGAGTCACATGGACAGTTTTGTAGAAACCTAGGAGGCTCCTGCGGGTCAGAAATGTAGTAAAAGGTAGTATTTTTTTAAATTCTATTTTACTTATTACTTTGAAAGTTTATGTGTGGGGACGCATGTGTGCCATAGCAAGCGTCTGGAGGTTAGAAGCAACTTGTGGGAGTGAGTTCCTTTCTTCCATGGTAAGTGCTTCTGTGACAGCTAAGGGAATGTTAATTGTAGATACCTTATTGTAGAAGCTGAAGAAATTTGTGAAGTTTGTAGGTTAAGGAAGGGGTGTGTGTGTGTGTGTGTGCGCGCGCGCATATATATATATATATATATATATATATATATATATATATATATATATTTTAAAGCATGTCAGTGTTAGACTTTAGAGAAATGCTAGGGAAGCAGCCATGGTTCAGGTTCGGGCGAACATGAGGACCCTGGAGCTGGAGGATGGAGAAGTAAGGGGATGCTCACAGGTGCCAGAGCAAACTTGAATTCTAACACATTTTTAATTTAGTGCCTTTTCTTGCACTTCCTATTTTCTGTACTCCTTTTCTCTTTTTCCTTGGTCCCCTCTTCTTCCCTGTGTTCCCTTCCCCTTCATCCTCCCCTTCTTCTTTCACACTTTTCTCTCCCCCATTCCCTTCCTTACTTCCCAGAGTCTAGTTGTAGAGTCCCCAAACTTCTGAGTGCTGGGCTCCCTTGGTTTTCTGCACCTCCACCCTGTCCCCCAGTAAACCAAGTAATTGTCTCCCTATTGAATCTGTTTACTGGTATAAAGCATAGTGGTGAGAACCCACAACAGTAAAAGATGAAGAGAAGCTTAATAGTAAAAGTCATCTATGGAATTTTATTACTGATGTACCTAATTATTAGTGTCACAAAGGTTGTGTATGCTCATGGCCAGAATGCCTAATTTCACTTTAAAAAGCTGTTTGGTTTTTTTTTTTCACCTGCAAAGTTGTGTTCTCAGCGTTAGTTATGATATAACTGATGTACAGATGACTCTTGTTGCTTTAAATGTGCAGTCCTGATGGCTGTCCAGGCATTTTTATTTTTAAAGAGGAAAATGTCTTCTACATATAGTATACAAAACCTAACCCAAATGAAATCTCATTCAGGAAACAAGAAGACAGAAGAAAACATTGAAGAAAACACGCAAATTTATTGTTGATGGTGTAGAAGTGAGTGTAACAACGTCAAAGATAGTTACAGATAGTGACTCCAAAACTGAGGAATTGCGGTTTCTCAGGTGAGTAGAGAAACTGTGTAATTATCATAAGTTTAATTGAGTTTATTGCTGTTTCTGAAAATTATGTAGAATAGAGAAACAAGAGTAAATTCTTGGTTAATTTTGGATTATTTGAAAATTTGTTTTTCAAGTTTAAAATCTTATGGCTAAAGCTTATTTAAAAGTATTACTCCAGAGTATAATTTGCTTCTTTTTGTTATACTTTGTCAGGCGTCAGGAACTTCGAGAGCTGAGATTTCTTCAGAAAGAAGAGCAGAGGGCCCAGCAACAGCTCAATGGGAAACTGCAGCAGCAGCGAGAGCAGATTTTCAGGCGCTTTGAGCAAGAAATGATGGTGAAGTCTTTGATTTTGTGTTATTTTGTCAATAAATAAAATCTAGTGTTTTAGAAACAGTCCTGGAGGGCTGAAGAGATGGCTTAGAGGTTAAGAGCACTGGCTGCTCTTCCAGAGGTCCTGAGTTCAATTCCCAGCAACCACATGGTGGCTCACAGCCATCTGTAGTGAGATCTGGCGCCCTCTTCTGTTCAGTAGGCATACATGGAGGCAGAATGTTTTATACATAATAAAGAGATGAATCTTTAAAAAAGAAAGAAAGAAACAGCCCTGGAGTAGGCTATTAAATTTGCTCTCTGATGATAAGATTTTTCATGGTTTTGTGGTCTATTACTGTAGCCACTGTTTCTGGGGTGTTTTGGGTGCTTCTTATAAGCAAAAACTTGTTGAAAGGGATCTCCAATCCCAGTCTTATTACCGATTTTATAGTATACCACGTTTCATTTGAAATCTGTCATGAGAAGTTAGTATTAGGAGACTGGTAGATTGTTTACCAGGTTTTTAGATATTTCTGTCACTGAAAGCTGCTTCAGTGTTCGAGTTTCATCTTTCAGCTTACAATATTAAGAGTTTTTTTAAAAATATTATGATTAAAATATTACATAATTTCCCTTTTTCCCTTTCTTCTTTCCAAGTCCTCCTCCCATGCACCCTTCTCCCCCTTTATATTCATCGTTGATTGAGGTTTCTGTCCTGCTTGGTTCCCAAAGAAATCACACAGAGGTCTACATTAGTTATAAACTGATTGGCCTAGTATCTCAGGCTTCTTATTAATTCTTATAACTTATGTTAGCCCATAATTCTTGTCTGTGTTAGCCACGTGGCTTGGTACCTTTTTCGGCGAGGCAGTCATATCTTGCTTGCTCTGTGTCTGGCTTTCTCTCTCTCTCTGGGTGACGACTACAGACTGAAACTTCCCTCCTCCCAGAATTCTCCTTGCCTCACATCTACTGCTTGCCTGGTTACCCCACCTATACTTTCTGCCTGGCTTACTGGCCAGTCAGCATTTATGTAAAATACAAGTGACAGGGTACAGACCATTGTCCCACAGCAATTTATGGCCTTACTTAATTTTTCTTTAATTGTTGATTTGTGTGTATATTCCTAAATATATAAATACAGCATGTTCAGTTTGTATAATGTTGCTTATATGTATATGATTTTCGGTCTAACTATTTAGTATAGATAACTAATTGGAGGGCTTATCCCTGGGAGAGACTGTTTCTCCCACTCTCAGCATTTCTTCATTGCCTGTAGTTCTTTGTTTAGGGTTGGGGCCCTATGAGATTTCCCCTTCCATGTTAGCATTATCTATTGATGTTGTGGTCCTTCAGGAATTGTTTTGGCAACTGTATTGTTGAGACTTTGTGGGTGTAGTTTTCCCAACATTTCTGCAAGACTCAGTCTCACAGCAGACATCTTAGTCCTCTGGATTTTACCATCTTTCTGCCCCTCTTCTGCAGTGTTCTCTAAGCCTTAGGTGGAGGAGTTGTGTTATAGATGTCTCACTTGGGGCTGGGATCACATGATTCCTTATTCTCTGCATTTTAATTAATTGTTTTTTTCTGTAGCGGTCTCCATCTGTTGCAAAGAGATTTTTGTTTGTGTGTTTGTTGTTGCTGAGGGGTGAGAGCTAAAGTTACATGTAGGTATAAATATAAATATTTAGAATGTAACCTGGAATTATGCTGGTTTTGTAAAGTGGTGGTTGTAGGTCCTCCAAGGTCCATGACTAAGTAGGTTGTCCAAGTTTCTAGAATTAGGCATGATTTTTCTCTTGTTGAGTGAGTCTTAAATCCAATTATAGAGTTGTTGTTTACCACCAAAATATGAGTGCCACTGTGGTTATTTTGCCATGCTGGTTGTTGTGGTTCATAGGTGTCACAGCTTGATAGGACAAGGAATAAGCTTGCATGGACCGTTCTGGTACTATGAAAGTTAGTCTCTTAGGGAGGAGGCTTTCAGTTAGATCCAGCTTGGATTTTCTTGGTCTTCAACAGCAGGAGCTCATCTTCAGTCTCTAGGAGGCAACCAAGGGCAACAGCAATAACCTATAATGTTTTGGGAGTCTCTTGGCCTCCCCTTACCAACAGCTTATCAGGGGATTTCTGAGACCTGGTATTGGGGGTTTTTGCTAGATTGTCTGTTGCTTTTGCGGCAAACTTTGTCAACCCAGGTGGGAAAATTTCTTTTAGACTATATATGTATATACATAGGTTTAGATGTATTATATGTGTAATTTTAGGTAAATAGGTAATAATGATTTCTTACAGCTTTTTGAGACATTCTTACTGTTATCCTCCCTCTTCTGTGTTGACCTTTCTCCCACTTCCCAATCCTTCCTCAGCCCCATTTCTCCCATTTCCTGTTCCAATTACATTTACACTGCTATTCTCTTCTCTGTTACGTATTTCCTTTTCCATGGTCCCTTACTTTCCTGGCTTCACTCAAATCTGAAGATTTGAAGTTAAAAGCCATAATGAAACAGAAAAGAAAAGAAAAAAAAAACATTTTGTGTTTGTTTTTCTGGGACTGGGTTAACTCACTCCAACAGTATTTTCTATTTCCATTCATTTTCCTGCAAATTCTATGATTTCACTTTCTTTATAGCTGTATAGTATTCTGTAGTGTATATGTATCACATTTTCATTATTCATTTCTCAGCTGAAGGACATGTAGGATGGTTCCATTTCCTAGCAGTTGTGAGTAGAGCAGCAATGAACGTGGCTGAGCAAGTATCTGTGGGTAGGCTCTATCAAGTGGAGTGGTGGAGCTGAGTCCTCTGGGTGATTTATTGTTGCTTTTTGAGGATTCTCCACACTTATTTCCATAGTAGCTGCAGTAGTTTGCAGTCCCATCCACAGTGAATGAGGGTTTCCTTCTTCTTCACATCCCTTCCAGCATTTGTTGCCAGTTATTCCATTGGTCTTTTCCATTCTGATTGGGGTAAGATGAAATATCTCAAAATTGTTTTGAATTGCATTCTCTAATTGCTAGGGCTGATGAACATTTTTTGAAATATTTCACCTTTTTTTTTTTTTTGAGAACTCTCTGTTTGGTCTCAGGCTCTCATTTGAATGGGTTGTTTGTTATTTTAACTCTTTTCTTTTGAGTTCTTTATATATTCTGTATATTAATCCTCTGTTAAAGTTAGAACTGGCAAGGATTCTTCCCATTCCGTGGGCTGCTTCTTCAGCTGATTGATTGATTGTTTCTTTAGCTGTTCAGAGGCTTTTTAGTTTTATGAAATCCCACTTGTCAATTGTTGGCCTTAATTTCTGGGCAAATGGGGTCCTTCTCAGAAAGTCCTTCCCCATACCCTCTCTCCAGAACATACTACCTGTGTTTTCTAGATTCTGAAGTTTCCAGGTCATCTAGAACAGTTGTTTCCAAGCCTGACTGTTGGAGGAGGCTGCTTGTTTTGTTCCCAGCTGCTCAGCCCCAAAATAATCACACAGAACCTATATTATTTAAATCATTGCTTGGCCCATTATCTCTAGCTTCTTATTGGCTCTTACATCTTAATTTAACCCATCTCCATTAATCTCTGCATTACCACGAGGTCGTGGCTTACCAGCAAAGTTTCACCGCATCTGTCTCCTGTGACAGGGCCATGGCCAGGGCCCAACACTTGCTGTTGGTCTTGCTTCCAATATAAATAAATCTTCTTTCAGTCTAGTTTTCCCCACCTACCTCTATTTCTTGCGCAGGCCCAAGATAGTTTCTTTACTAACTGGTGGTATCCACAGCACACAGAGGGGAATCCCACATCACCTGACTGAATGTTAGAACTTGTTGGCGGCTTTTCACTGGTTACTTTCTTCACTGGCTTTTGCGGTTAAGTTTGAGGCCTTCAGTTTTCACTTATGTCCACTATTGGGAAGGGAATTTAGGAATGTGTTACAAAATTTAAGTTGAATATCTAGCTTAAAGTATGTTAGGAAAAAAGATAATTTAAAATAATATTGAAGTTTAAATTATAATCCTTTGCAGTTTTGTAATGCAAGTGTTGAGGACTGTTGTATGCGTTGTGTGGCTTTGTTGATTTTGTGTTCAGTCACTACCACAGGTTCCCAAGGAAACAGAGAGGGATGCTCTCACTGACTGCTTTTGCATTCTTTTCATTCTGTTTTCCAGAATTTTAGAAATTGTGTCTTTGCCCTCCATAGATTTATCTGAAATGTTTCCCTTTTCAAATTCTTTTATTTTTGAGGGTTTGTTGTTGTTGTTTTGAGACAGTGTCTCCCTTATAGTCTCCCTCTATACATTCCAGCCTCCATTTCTCAGGTGGTAGAATTACAGGCATGTGCTGTTGTTATACCTAATTTTAACTTCTTTCTTTCCTTCCTTTCATACTTTATAATATGTATTTCTATATTCAAAATTACATAATTACTTGACTATTTGATGAATTATCATAGTAATAGACTGCATTGTTTTACAGAGTAAGAAGCGACAATATGACCAAGAAATTGAGAATCTAGAGAAGCAGCAGAAACAGACAATTGAACGATTAGAACAAGAGCATACAAACCGCTTGAGAGATGAAGCCAAACGAATCAAAGGAGAGCAAGAGAAGGAGCTGTCCAAATTCCAAAATATGCTAAGAAACCGCAAGAAGGAGGTAAATGTAGCTACAGTTGTTAATTATCACAGATGTTTTTAAAATACAAATTGAAGACCATCTGAGGAATCAGGAATAATAGCTAGTAACTGAATAGCACTCATTCATTCATGCCTTTGTTCATTATTCCAAACAGTGATAGGCTGGCAGTTAGTGACTTCAGATATTATCCTCATTTTACTGCCAAGAAAACAGGGAATAAAAGAGGTTTCAGTGGCCTGTCTCCCTTAACTTTGAGCCAAATCTTCAAATAAAATCCAAGCTGTATTTCATTCTGCCATTTACTTCTTATTAATAAACTATTTAGGGCTTTATTTAGAAGTACTTTTTCAAGAGAACTTAACATCATTGGTATTTACTAGGTAGCAACAAAAATTATCATTTATGAATTACTTGATGTTTGAATTTTTCTCAATTAGATTTATTCATTTTCTTAGACATTTTGCCAAGCAGGAATTGAATGGCTTGATATTCAAAATAACACAAGCCATGTGATTATAAAAAGGTTTTGGCTTTTCTGCGCTGCTTCCATGTTGCTATAGAGCTGATTGTCATCATCTCGTAAAGAGGCTTCCCATATGTTGTCCTTTTGTACCTAGCGTAAAATAAAATACATCCAAGCAATTCTCAGTGATAATTTACAACTTGTTCTTATCTTCAGTGCAGGAGAAGGAGTTACATTTTCAGAAAATAAATAAACAACCCCAGGGGAAAAATAATTATGATCAGTTCTATTAGGATTGGAAGAAAATATCTCAGCCAGATTAGGAAATGTAGTTTCACTTTCGTTACGTATTTCAGTTACCATTATTTTAGCATTTGAGTTTAGTATTTAATTAGGAAGAAAACAGAATATCATATTATTGAATCTTAAGGATGTGTTCAAGTAGGACTGAACAATAATAGCAAGTACTTGATGTTTTCCTTAGGTCAGATGTGCATACTGGTGTGTAGCTAGCTTCATTTCCTATAACCACCATTTCTAGAGGGTTGTTTTTATTGTCATTATGTCTTTTATAGAGTTGCTTCATATACTATGATAAAGATCTTTGTCAATTTTTTAAAAAATTCTGGGTCATTTGTTGAGAAACTAATCTTTGTATTAGATTAAATTAAAAGATTTAATTCTAGATGAATAAGTCTGTAGTTACTGTTTTGAATTTTATCTAGTTACGTTTGAGATCATGATGTATTTGTATTGAATAATCTTATTGTGTATTTTTTCCTTACTGCTAAACTTCTTGCATTTGGGGAGTTTCTTGCTTTTACTGGTGATTTGGTTTCATGAGGAGTTACTGATGGGGAACTAAGGACATTGTAAATCAAAATCAGTCTCTCTCTTGGGTGCCAGTGGCATGTGGTGATTTGGAATCCGGGCTCTTTTGGTGCTTTTACTTGTATACACATGCTTGTTTTTCAGATCTGGACTATAGATCTTTTGGTGGGTGAAGGTCATATTTAGACTTTTGGTTAAAAAAAAGGAATTTAAAGATATACTTCATTTAAAAACATACTTTGTTTGATGTAAGAAATCATAGTTTACTAAACTTTAAAGAGTGCTTACATTACTGATTTGAATGTTGTCCAGCTTGGCTTCAATTTTCACCAAAGAGAGTATTACCCAATCCTATAGAAGGTCATCAGCTATATTCGTTTTTGTCACACCATATATAAAATGGCATGCTTTATGAAAAAAGTTTAGTGTTTATTTATTTTTCTCTTGTCCATTTGAAGTCCCACTTCCCTTCCCTTTCCTCCCCTGTTGTCATGAAGTGACTCATCTGGAACTGTTCCTTTGGTGTCGTCAAGTCAGTTGTAAAGTTTGCACTTTATAAATGGAGTTAGCTTTTTATGTGTTTAGCTTTTCAAAGACTATCGATAGGTATGTTTGTAATTTTTGACCCCTCAAGAAGGCAGTTGAATGCTCTGAGCACTCCTTCACTGATTGGTACGTGGGGATAGTCAAGCAATGAGTGAGCCTTTGCATGCTGTGTTTCCCTTTCTGCTCTGTCTCTTTATTCTTTTCCACCAACTAACGCTTGTGCTAATGCATGTTGAAAGGAATCTTAACAACTTTAATTTTGACTCGTAGCTTTCTGCTCATATATTCATATGCTTTCTGTGGAGAAAGTATTATTTCCCCACCTCCTGCATGCTCATACACTTAGGTTATGAATGAAGTGGAGAAAGCACCCAAAGAACTGAGAAAAGAGTTTATGAAACGCAGGAAAGAGGAGCTTGCACAAAGCCAGCATGCTCAGGTAACAGCAGCAGCGTAATGCTACTAAAACCAGAAAGCTGCCTTTTCTCTTGGCTCAGAAAGCCATGGTTGAAAGAGGAGATTATAATTGTAATTATTATTTAATGTTAAACTTTTCCCCATCTATAGATACCCAGGATCTTTGTTTTGTTTTTAAATACTGTTGAATTTATACTTGATGACATTTAAATTGCTAATAATGAAAGTAGATGAAATGTTTAGAAAGTTGATTCCAGATAAAAGAAACAAATGTCTTAATGTAATGGCTACTGTTACCTGATTTTTATCATGATAGAAGGCTATGTTTTTGGTTTTTTTCTTTTTTCTTTTTTTTTTTTTTCCAAGACCGGGTTTCTCTGTGTAGCTTTAGAGCTTGTCCAGGAACTTGTTCTGTAGACCAGACTGGCCTTGAACTCACAGAGATCCTCCTGTGTCTGCCTCCTGAGTGCTGGGATTAAAGGCATGCGCCACCACCACCGCCTGACTGGAAGCCCATGTTTTTAAGAAGTGGTGCCAGTGCTTGCTGGAAGACCTTTAGGGCAGAGTTGGGGGTAGATATATAAGTTTGTGCTTAGAAAAAGAATGCCTATTAAGAAATCATTTAGAATAAAAATGGCAAATTTTATTATTAATGGTAGATCATACATTTAATTACTGTTCTTAGCCGGGCGGTGGTTAGCTACAGAGAAAACCCTGACTCGAAAAACCAAAAAATATATATATATATTTATTAATTACTGTTTTTAGGTTTTTCGGGACAAGGTTTCTCTGTGTAGCTTTGGAACTTGTCCTGGAACTTGCGCTGTAGATCAGGCTGGTCTCGAACTCACAGAGATCCGCCTGTCTTTATCTCCCACATGCTGGGATTAAAGGCCACTACCATCTGGCATCATTTAATTACTTTTAAGATCAAAACATAATCAACTTCAAAGACAAATTTTTCATAAATTCATTTTTTTATTTAGAATCCAACAGCTAAATGAACAGAATATTTTTACAAGAAGAATGAATGAACTAGATAAATGAATATTTTAACAGAATTTTCCAGTTACTGCAATGTATTGTCCTTTTACTGTGGTTTTTATGTAATAACAACAAAAAATGATTCCTAAACTTTTAGGCTTTATAGGTCCTGAAAAGAAACAGAAGTAACAAAAATCCATTAGAGACCATGGCATTTACTGCAACTGAAGTGTGTGTGTGTGTTTGTGTGTATGTGCATGCGTGCAGTAAATATATTTTAAAACTGTTTGCCTATTATTATTTCAGAGCTGATAACATTTTAGTATTATGAAAAAGAAGGAAACTGATCTAGAACTTCCAGTTTTAATTCATTCCAGTTTAATTGAATAAAATTAGTATTTTTCTTGCTGTAAGGCACTGAGACATTGTGTCTTGTCCTGGTGTGGGAATGACTAGTTGAAGGATATGGTGACAGACAGAGCATTTGCTGTGTGGCTATCTCTTTTTCTGATGCTCCACATATCACAGCTCAGTCTCACACTGAGCATCGCCCCTGTCTTAGCAGTGTGGGAACAAGCACAGAAAGGGAAATGTAAAATCAGAATTGTTGCCCAGACAGTTTCAGCTTCACGTTCAAATACTGGATTGCCAGACAGCATACCATGCTGCCTCGTGTCAAGACTGCCCACTCTGCCTGGTCTGGATGCTCATCATCTGGCCTACCGTTCATTGTGAACAAGTGAAAGGGAGTCCTTGCCGGCTCCACCTTTGCTTTTGGTTAGTTTAGATTTCAAACTAGATACTAAGTAATAGCAATATAGTTTTGCCTTAAGGACTATAACGGATGGTTTTTAGTTTCAAAAGTATATTAAACTTAAGAGTTGAGAATAAGAATTTATTGTTGAATGAATTGAGTGATCCTATACTATAAATTTAGTTTACTCTTTTTTTTTTTTAAATGACTCCATGTAATTTGGAGGAGTTTTTTGTTTTCCCATGAAAGTTAAAATTACTGGTAAATTCTTTCTGTAAATTTAGATGTCGCACTTCAAAAGTATTTATTCCTTTGATAAATTTACTAAAATTTGATAATTTTACAGTTTGTCTAGACTGTGTAGCCATGGAGCTGGTACATATTTGACACCTAGTCCTCAGGCTTTCAGACTGTCTCCCTAGGAGCTCTTATTCCAGGCAAGGGCTATGGGGCTGGGGGTGTTACTTCTGTGCGGAAAAGAGGACTTTTTCTTTTCCTCCTTGTTCCACCTTTCCCCTCCTCTCTTTTTCTTCCCTTTTTTCCTCTCTCCTTCCCCCCCTTTGTTTCTTTCATATGTCATTTGTCTGTGGTTTGTTAGAGGGCAGCATTTTCTGAGAGTCTTTCCTCCTTCCAAACACGTGGGGCTTAAGCAGGTGTTGTATCCACTCAAGTCTCCTTGCAGTTTAAAATCTGTCTGTTTGTCTATCTATCATCTGTCCCTCCGTTCATCCATCCATCCATACATCCTTCCATCCATCCATCATGGATAGGCTTTTAAAAAGGAGTTCCACTGATTTAGAAGTAACACATTAGAATTTGGAAACCACTGACCTAATTATCACCTTTTGTTCTGCAGATGGGCAATAGGTCCCTCTGTTACTTGACTTGACCTTGTGCAGTTATCGTTTCCACTTACACAAAGTCATTCAGACGTCTGTTTTCTCACCTGGGAGGTGCATTGTATTCTGATCCACAGGGTGTTGCTCAGGTCATGATTCAGTCTTTTCAGTTGTCATCTTGTGCAGTGTTCAACGCCCAAATGCAGGACGTAAGTCCGCGTGCTGTGGGAGGTGCCTTCTGTTTTACTTGTGCCTTCTTTGACTCACATGTGCCTTTCATTGTTAACTTCATTGACTCAATTATAGAATATTGAGAGCTGATGCCAATAATAACAGTAATAATAGTTTGGCACGAACTTAGTATTAACAGTGTTCTTCAGAGTTTTTACATCTGGTTCTCACTGGCACCATCCTCACGTAGGGATGGAGTATATTCTTTCACCAGATGTAATATGTGGGCACAGGAGGCTTGTGATCTGCTCCAGACCCGTGGTCTCTATGGCATCAGCAGAAGAGCTGGAAGCTACAGTGGAGGGCTCTATTTTTCTGCCTCCCCACCATAGATTTTAAACTTGAAATTTTCATGATTTTTAAGAAAAGTAAAATATCTTCCTGGTAGAGTTTTATAAACTTTGCACATGTGAGAAATTGAATGCTGTGATTAGATTTTTACTTGTGTGTGAAGTGACATTTTGATTACATATAATTTTAGATGTCTTAATTATGGATATGGTCAGAAAAGCCATGGTAAAAGTAGTGATTTTACTTTGGTTTAATTTGTCCCCATTTATTTAAGTTGTCAATAGTAAATATTGAGGTGTTGTTATTTCCATTGTAGTTTGAAATTATGTCTGAAATTCCAAACTGTATCCTTCTCACAGTTCCCATAGAAACGGCTAGCCAATATAACATGGTAATTTTTGATATAAACTACTTGATTTCAGCCATTTCTGGTTCCCGCATTTCCAAATTAGATTTAAAAAGCAATTGGCAGATACTTTTTTTAAACAAGAAATTATGATTTATAATCTTTTCTGATCATTACCATTGTTGAATAAATCTGTTGAGTAAGTGATCAATTTTCATACAAATAGTTCAACTTGTCATAACCTTTTCTGATAGTTTTTTGAATGCAAATCTGCAGTTTTAATACTTACAGTTAGTTAACTGATATGATAAAATTACTTACCAGAATTTGAATTTGTACTTTTAAAGGTCATTGACTTCATAGTGCATGAGGCCATTTTTAGAAATGACTTTTGGCTTTCTTAGTTTGGGTTCTTTCGTTGTTCATTTTTGTGACTTCTACTCATAAGCACATAGGTATTTTTAAAGACAGAATGTAATCCATGCAGACTTTTTAGAGCGTGAAATTTCTCTTAGTTTCTGTTCCTAAGAGCAATTTCTACTAACAAATTCCATTGTGAACATATTGTATTTGCCTTTTGAAGTTGAGAAATTTAATGAATGGGCAATAATATTAAAATCACATTCATTTGAAGTAAAAAAGTATATTTATGTATAAGAGTCTTTTAGGTAATTAATTTACATTAATTTAACTTTAATATAAACTATTTGTGTGGTGCCCACCAATTATATAGTCATTTAAACTCTGCTTGCTTGTTCAGCTGTGTGGCAACCGTGTTCCTTGCTAGCTCCTGTCAGGAAGCATTCCCACACTAGTCTGTCACTGCCTACTGACTCTGACTTGTTGAGCCCTAGTTTGTGTTCTGGGGCTGTTTTTATTGATTTTAGTTGCACTGTACCTAGCAGTCCCGGCATGTACTGAGTACCTCAAGAAACTTCTCTTTGAACTGAACTCCCACTTTGTGTAATCCAGATCTTAAGGACAGTGACATACCCACAAATGGCATGAACAGAAATCATATGCACTTAGTGGCATAGCTTCTATTTACCTTTTTTTGTTTCACATATTTATTGGCTTGAGTTTATACTTTTGATATTTGACTTCTGAGTCCAAATATAAAGTCGACATATATACTAGTTAAAGCTGTGTGCACAGATATTTTAAAAAGCTATGATGGTAACCCAATGATAAAATTGTTAACCACAAGAAACTCTTAACTGTATCTCCAGGTTAAACATTTATTGAACAGCGTTGCAAGTAGAAACTTTGTATCTGAGGTTAAAAGGAACAAATTTTTATTACAAATGTTTGCTGTAGGAAAAAGAGGAGTGTAGGTCGCCTTATTTAACTGCTTAAAAGGTGGCATGGAGATTTCGCATCTCTTGAGTAAAATATAAAAGACTTTTTTATTCTAGATGGATAAATAAATAGGTTTTTGTTGGTTTGTTTTTGAGATATGGTTTCTATGTATAGCAGCCCTGGCTGTTCTGGCACTCATTCTGTAGACCAGGCTGTCCCCAAACTAACAGAGATCTCCCTGCCTCTGCCTCTGCCTCCCAGGTACTGGGATTAAATGGGTATGCTACCACTGCCTACTACTAGTTGTATTTTATAGGACTGTTCACTGGCCTTTCTTCTGCTCTGTGTATTTGGATTTATAGTAAAACATACATGATTATGCAGATGAAATGATGGTAACATTTGCAACTCCACATTGCTCCCTCACCACAGCCTGAAATGACCAACTCCAGAGGCACTGCCATAGGTCAACTCTTAGAGGAGCTTTCTTGGCCTGTGTGCACTAAGGACCAGGCTGGAAGTGGTCCAGATCTTGTCTGACTCTGTTCAAGTCCCAAAGAACTGTTTTGAAATAGAGCTGAGCCTTGACTGTTCACTGGATCATAAGAGAAAAGGACTGTAGTTTAAGTGTTGTTTCAGCCCTAAAATATAAACCTAAAGTTTTTATTTGTATATCCTTTGTATAAACACTTTCTTCTGTTACTGCCAAAGGGGGATAGAGATGCATACATTTTTAATTTAATTTAATTTGTGCCTTTTTAAAAGCACAAATTTGGCAAATGGTAGGCATTCAATCAATATTTATTAAGTGAATTAGTGAGTCTCAAATGTGTTGATAGAATGCCTTCATTGTAAGAATTCTGTGTTGATTCATAGTGTCACTTTCCTAGCCCTAACTTAAATCTCTCTAGCCTAGCGTGCATTGTTTCTCACTACGTCTCCAAACTGGTGTTCTTTTAGGCACATGCTATAGACGATGAGCACTGTCCTCCACTGTTAGTTCAGGCAAAGTCTTTCTACCTGTCTGTTTTTTTAGTTGCCTCCATTCTTGAAAGGCATTTCTTACTTACTTTTGTTTTAGTTATACCATGGTGGAGCAGATGGTCAGCTTCAGAAGTTATAGTTTGTTATTTTCCAAAGCTGCTAATGAAAAAGAACATTTTAATTGTGAATGGATGTGTACTTTTTATGTGTATCATTCTTAATAGTGAATAGATGTTGTACATTCTAACACATTTCTAGATTTGGGTGACCAGTAAATTTGTGCTTTATCTGTACAATATAATTTTAGTGATTTTTAAAACCACACCAGCTTTATAAACTTCACTTAGCAATCTTCATAAGCACCAGAGATGCAGTTCAGTGCTAGAGTATTTGTCCTGCATGTACAAGGCCCTGGTTCAGTCTCTATCACTCTTCCCCTGCAGAGAGGAAGAAGCTTCACTAACCACTAATACATAAGCACTAGATAACTGAATGTTTAATTTAGTAGATATGTATTAACAGATGGTTAACTGTGTCTGTTAGGAACAAGAATTTGTTCAGAAGCAGCAACAAGAATTAGATGGCTCTCTGAAAAAGATCATCCAACAACAGAAGGCAGAGTTGGCCAATATCGAGAGAGAGTGCTTGAATAACAAGCAACAGCTCATGAGAGGTATGTGAGAGTCCACACTGTGTGTGTACACAACAAAAATGCCTCAGATGTTGCCTGAGGTGTGCATTGCAGAGTGTCGAGTGCTTTTTCTTTGCTGGGGTGGCCAAGGAAAAGATAAAATAAGAGGTTCTCTTTTTTAAACTAGAGAAATACTGTGAGAGATAGCAGAAGTGTCTCTAAAAGTACACTTAAAACATGGACTGGAGATGCAGCTTAGTGGTAGAATATGTACTTAGTGTGTACATGGAGCCCCGGATATAGAGGCCTGGCTCAATTCTCAGCACTTCAAACACAACCCCCCCCCCCCCAAAAAAAACCAAATAACCCTACCTAAAAATTAAAATATTTAATCTATCTGAATATAATAACATAGTGAGAAGATGATAGGATGGGATTTTAAACCCTTATTCCTCCTAACAGATTAATTTCTTTCTTTCTTTTTAAGGTGGGATTTTGGCATTCCTGGTAGGACATTCTTAGTTTAGGGCATTAAAACAAAAAATGATAATAAATGCTATTTTGCATTGGTAACCTTTTATTTATACTTTAGAATATCTATTTGTGTAAATTAATATATAAAATTCTTTGCTGTAAGTATTAAAATGAAGAGCATTGGACATTAGTTAAAAGAACTAAGTGACATTTTGAAAACCACTTCCTTGCAGCTCGAGAAGCTGCGATTTGGGAGCTTGAGGAGCGACACTTACAGGAAAAGCACCAGCTGCTTAAACAGCAGCTTAAGGATCAGTATTTCATGCAGAGACACCAGCTGCTTAAACGCCATGAGAAGGTGAACGAAAGGGAAATTTCTTCAGTTGTTTGTCCGTTTTACTTTACAAAGTTATTCAGTTTTGTAGCTTAATTTCTTAGAGAATAGATTCTTTGCTTTATTTTTTTTACCTTAAATTTTTTTGAGTTTGAGTACTTGATTATAATCTTTATGTTGATTGTAAACTTTTCTATCAATTACAGTGTTTTAAAAACCTTATAAATGGTCATATTCATCTTGTGTCTTCCTGGTTCCAATGTGATTCAAGTATATTAGTAACATTTCTTTCCTGAACACTGCTGTCATTAATAACTTTTCCTATAAATTATTTTTGCCTAATATTTTGTTGTTCATTGTACAGCTAGAGGGTACCTATGAGAAACAATAACAGATGCCATCTTGGAACATGTCTATGGGTGCTGAGCGTTAGGCTGTATCTGCAACTGTTCAAGTCTGTTTAAATCTTCTTAGGAAACAGAACAAATGCAACGTTATAATCAACGGCTTATTGAGGAATTGAAAAACAGACAGACTCAGGAACGAGCGAGACTGCCCAAGATTCAACGAAGTGAAGCCAAGACACGAATGGCCATGTTTAAGAAAAGTCTAAGAATTAACTCAACAGCCACACCAGATCAGGATCGTGAAAAAATTAAACAGGTACTTAAGAGATAATTCTCTTCTTTTTCAGGGTTTAACCAAGTTGAATGACCTTTAAAAGTACCTCATAATTGGGTTTAGACATTTAGTCTCACCTCGGGATTGTCATTTTAACTTTCTGGATTGGGGCAGGGTGCTTGTTATGTACCAACTTAGTCTTCCCTGTTTGGGACCATAGAGGGCAAAGTCATCTCTCCCTTGACAGTTCTTAGACCATGGGAGTGAGATAACTTGGACAACTTTGAAGTAGGAACCATGTCCGGCTGTGGCACTTCTGCGGCAGCAAATGATCTTCTGCTACTGGAGATCATTAAGCCATTAGAGCACGGAGACCTTGACCAGAGGTCATTTCCTCTCCCTTTACCTAGGTCTTAGAGGTTTGAGTTACAGCGTAGGATTACAGCTTTAGTTTACTGTTTTTTAAGCTTTGTTAAATCGATTAATTATACCTCTAGAGTATGTACAGATTACCCTGCTTCCTATCTAAATTATTTTTTGTTTTTCTTATTTATAGTTTGCTGCACAAGAAGAAAAGAGGCAGAAAAATGAGAGAATGGCTCAGCATCAAAAACATGAGAGCCAAATGCGGGATCTCCAGTTGCAGTGTGAAGCCAATGTCCGAGAACTACATCAGCTGCAGGTTAGGTTCTGGAGCCTGACAACGGAATGCATGGTGGCCGGGTAGCTTATACCACTGATGTGGAGAAAATAAGACCAACCAGAATTTGCTGCGTAGGAAAGGGACAGAGCATTGAATGCCTGGCTGCTGCATGGGCTCAAGGGAGAGCCGTGCAGTGCTGTGGACCCTTGTTTTTATTCCATGTGATTAAGGTGAATGTAAGCATGAGCTAAATTAAAACCTGAGAAAGCATCATCAAATATGCTTTTTATTATTAAATCATGGTGTGTTTAAGATTCTGAATTTATTTTTTAATTTAAAAGGATTTGGCTGATTTTTTTTTCTGGTTTTGAGAAAAAAAGGTAAACATTGGGAAATTTTTTCAGTAGGAAATTAGACCTTAGAGAGGACTGTTTTTGGAATTCATTTGAAATGTACAGTCCATCTAGTGAGTGCCCGAAATGTTTACACTTTCAGAGGTAACTTTGATGTTCTGTATACTTGGTTTATTTACTAGAGTAGAATACTTACTAATTCCAAATCTTTTACCAACTGGAAAAGCAAAAGCCCAATGTATTTCTACTTAAGTTCTTTTTTATATATGATATTTAGGTTTTTTTTTTTTGCAAGAAGTTATAAAAGTTTCAAAAACAGTGAAGGTATTTATACACTTTTAAAACAGATGATTTCATAACTCTTGGCACTTAGTTTTTAAAGGAGAATTTGAACTTCCATAACAGCATGATATCTAATCAACAATTTGCTACTTTGGAGGAACATATATCTGTTAAAAATTGCTCCATTGACCCGAAAAAACTTTAATACCAACTTTATTTTCAGAATGAAAAATGCCACCTGTTGGTTGAACATGAGACTCAGAAACTGAAGGAGTTAGATGAGGAGCACAGCCAAGAGTTAAAGGAGTGGAGAGAGAGACTGAGACCGAGGAAGAAGGTGATTTAAAAGCTGTCCTACAGCGCTGTGTGTGGTTCGCCCATTCCCTGCCTACAGGTTCTGTACTTTCTTTGTATCAGGTGCAGTGACATGATGGATACGGAGATGGGAATATCCCTATTCCCAAAGTCCAGGATCTGTGAGAAGTGATTCCAAGTTGGGGGGACCCTTGCTGGGGATAGGTTAGGGCATGATGCAGGGGAGCAGAGTGCATGAGCACAGGAGAAGGAGGGCTGAAATCTCTGTGAGGAGGCTTAAGAGGTAAAAACTGGGTGGGCTATGAACCATTAATAATAACTTGCAGGCAGGTGGGTAGACTGGAAAGGAATGGGACAAGCAGAGAAAGTAGAATGAGCAAAAATACTGCATGTGGAAAATTACGAATAGTTCTTTCCCCTTGCAGAGCAGTCAGGGAGGAGTGCAGGAAGAAAGCAGTGAGGGCTGAGTCTACAGTAGCACGGCTCTTGAATTAACTTAAGATACAAAGCATAAGAATGGCTTATTTCCTCTTTTCTTCCATTTCTCTTGTTTGTAACCAGTTTCCCTGCTGGCCTGATTTCATGAATTAACCACTGTATCTCTGGCTGTTACTCTATTGTCCACTTCCCTTTGTTAACCCTTAAGACATCAACATTTCTTTTTGTGAGCTTTCTTCCCGCTGTACATCTCAGTGATGGTGGGACATGCCTTAAGTCCAAGGTCCTCCTCAGTTACATGATGAATTTGAGGTTAGCCTGGGCTACACGAAACCCAGTCTCAAAAAGAAGGAGAAAAAACAAAAGAGGTGAGTCCATATAGCAGGGTCTCGACACTTGAGGCCGTAGGTGGTTATATTGCTGTGGCTGTTCATTGGTGCCATGACTATTGCTATGTTGGCCTCAAGCTTACTGTGTTCCTGCCTTAGGCTCCCAGGCACTGAGACTACAGGCATGCCCACTACATCCAGCTCATTGGTTTCCTTACTGTCAGTTTGAACTTTTCACTCATTTCATTTTCTTGGTGTTCTAGTCTTCCTCATTTCATCTAGGCCTCTTTTCCAGTGTCAGTGTATCTCTGAGGTCCTTGTTTCTTCACTTGATTCCCATCTCAAATATTCTTTATCCTGGCTTATTTTTCGTTGTTATAGTCTTCATCACCAGATATATTTCTTGTCTTATTTCATGAGAATATAAGCTGCTTAGAAAGCAGGGAATTTCTCTCTTTGTTCGCTGACCTGTATCTTGGTGTTGGAGTTCTCGGAATGCTGTGAGTGACTAGTGCACAGCTGTTGAAGATGATGGAGAACGTCAGCTCAGCATACTTCAGAGTGAACTCAGTATTGATGTCACCTTTCCCTCCTCCAGTAGCTCCACCAGCATGACGTGTTCCCACATCCCCTCTCTTAATTGACATTCAGGTTAGAACCTTAATCTGTGGCACTCAGCATTCAACCAGATATTAATTGTGACGCACTTTTAGTGTATATTCTCTTTCCTGTTGCCGAGCTTGCTCAACCATGTCCTCATGTATCTACTGACCCTAGTTCCCTCCTTATTCTTACTTGCTGGCTGTTGCCAGTTATCATCATGAACATCTGAAGATGTCCTGCGATTTGACTCTGAAACCTTCACAGTGATACACTTGGGCTGTAGCCTTTCTGACTTTTCCACCCACTAGCCACTTTGTTCTCAGTGTGCTGCAGTGTGGATAGAGTAACTAACTGTTCCTTCTTTGTGTCAGTTTTACCTGCTCTTCCCAGTGTACCTTCTCCATCCTGCCTGTCAATTCCTGACACTGCTTCATGGTTAAGTTCATGTTTTATTTCTGAGAAACTGTCTTGTGCTTTGTTTCAACATAAGCAATAACACTTTAAATGACTTATCTATAATCACTGATGCCTGTCCATTCAGTTCATTAAAACAAAATATTATAAAATGGAGGCCCGAGGAAGCCATGTCCAGAGTTCTGTCATGATCAGGTTCTGGTGAGGACCACCTTCTTTAGGAAAGAACTCTCTGCATGTCCCTTAAAAGAATAGTAGTCCCATTTAGAGGGCTCCCGTCTTGTGACCCTAATCACCACTCAAAAGATTAACCTCAGGAATCTATCAGGGTTAGGTTTCAATAAATTCAGACTACTCGTTCCTTTCCCAACCGCCCAGACCTGAATAATCACACAGAAACTCTATTAATTACAACACTGTTTGGCCAATATCTTAGTTGGATTTCCAGCCAACTTTTATATCTTACATTAACCCATTTCTGTTAATCTCTGTATCACCACAAGGCTGTGGCTTACTGGGCAAGGTGCTCGCATCTCTGTCCTCAGCAACTAACATGGTGTCTCCTTGACTCTGCCTACTCTCTTTATATATCTCTGTTTGGATTTTCTGCCTGGCTTTATTCTGTCCTGCCATAGGCTGAAGCAACTTCTTTATTAACCAATGGTAATAAAACATATTCGTAGCGTACAGAGGGGAATCCCACAGCGAGTATTTTTGCTGCGGATTGTAGGGCTATAAGATGAGTGTAGTTCAGATCTTAGGGTTATATGGCTTGTAGTTAGTGCAGAAGAAAACTATGTATGTCAGTAACTGACACAAAAAGTAGGTGACAGTTACTAATAGTTGTCACTTGCTATGTTTGGTGTTCACATGGCATGCTAACAAGGTAAGTTAGGCAGTGCCTTTCTTCTATAGCAGAGGACTAACTGAACTGAGTCTTGAACCTGCGACCGTGGGAAGTATGTGGTCTTAACTATTGAATAAAATGTTTGGGGTTAGTAGGTTTAATCTTGGCTATCAGAGTAAAACCTGATTTCCATGTACAGTGTAAAGCAGTGCATAATTGTTTGTCTCTTCTTTTTTAAGACACTGGAAGAAGAGTTTGCCAGGAAACTGCAGGAGCAGGAAGTGTTTTTTAAAATGACTGGGGAGTCCGAATGTCTTAATCCATCAGCACAGAGCCGTATCTCCAAATTCTACCCTATTCCCACCTTGCATTCCACTGGGTCATAGCGACAGCAAGCATTCTTTGTCTGGATTTGGCTTCTAAGTGCATCCTTATGTTCTCTTCATCTTCCACAGCACATGTGACTCACAAAGACAATCACCTGTCCATCTTCTTGGTGGTTTTGAAAATTGGTTTCTTGGATTTTTTTTTTTGTTAAGCAAACAAAGATGAAGGGCAAATGAACTAAGACAGATGCTGGGCCATGTTGGCAAGTAGCATCTTGCAGTAATTCCCTAAGGTGATTTTGTATATTGGCCTTAAATATTGTATTCTTTAGACATAGTACTGAAAAACTGCCAGAGAAATGTTTAAAGTTATTTGGGGAAAAAAAACCAAACCTGTTACATCACTAAGTATTAATAAATATTGTTTTACTTGATTTCTCAATGATACTAAATTCTATAGTTAAGATTATGCTGTAGAATTGGAGTGATTCTCTTTTGGTAAACCAACTATTATTAAAAAGCCATGAGCTACAGAAATATGTTTATTGATTCAATACATAGATATATTTTTTATCATTAAGCAGGATCAAAGTCTTTTAAAAGAGAAAGGCTATTTCAGTAATTTGTCACAAACATTAGCCTGTGTGGGCAGGAACAATAATGAGGTGCTAATTTTAAGATAGTGCCTAAAACACTAAATTTTAATCATATATAAAATGGGGTTTTCGTTTTGATCAGCAGGAACAAAATACCCTTCTCACTGGTGAACATTACTGTTTTAAAAACGTGTTTATATTGCCATTTAATATTCATCCTAAAACAAAGGTTGTACAAAGTATGGAAAGATGAATGAACTAGCTTTAAAATGTGCAGATTGAACTTAACAGAGCTCACCACACTGTCATATCACAGACCGAGCTTGCCCACGTCAGAAGCCTCCGTCTCAAAAGTTCTATTTCTCAGTGACGCTTAGGGGCCTCTGTGCCCCTAGCTGCAGTCACAACTACAGTTCTGAAGCTAGTCTTAGAAGAAGCGTTGTCCACAAAGGATTTCCATTCAGTATCAGACACACATGCAAAGTGACATTGTAAGGTTTCAAATGAGGTTACTCAAGTGCATTTGGGTTTTATTTTGTTCCATGTTTATATTAATTTCTTTGAGTCAGAAAAGCCTGAAACCTTTATCATGTGGTTGCTGGTACATGTGCTCATTAATGAAGTGTTCACTCTTGGTTCCTTCTGAAGCTCAGAATCAGTATTATAAACAGCACTTTTGTGAATGATGCTTGCTGCCTGCCATTGGCAACCTGTTCTCTTCTAAGAGTGCTAGGTACCAAACTGTAAACGTTTCAGTTTTTAGTTATATTTTGAGGTTGGTGGAAAAATAGAACTGTCAATGTAATGTGGAAACACCAGTTCATTTAAGGAAATGTCGATGTCTGTAGTACTTTGTTGCCGTTTATTTGAAAACTTTGGATGCTGGACTTTATCTGGTTTAAAAATGCATGTGTAATTTTAACTTTATAATTATTTTGACAAGCTTAATTTTCTTGGACAACCTTGTAGGTAGCCTTAACTTTCAGCCAATTTTGTTTTTATATAAATATATATACGTATATATTATAATGTATGGTTGTAAATTCATACATACACTTAGCACATGAATGTGTTACTGTATACAGAATTCTTAATGCTTTATTTTCAGATGCTGGGTTGAAAACTGTTTGAAAGCCTTTAAATATATCTTTATAAAGTATGATGGAGATTGTTTATATTGTTATGATAAAAGACAGAATTATGTTGCCCAGTGTATTTAATGATTTATTTGAAGAGGGAGAGGGTAGGAAAGCTCTTATACACCACTTTCTCCTTTGAATTTTTCAGCTTATTGGATTTTTACAAATGAACACTCCAGTCAATGGGCTTTATTTTCAGTATCATTTAGGTAATTGTAGACACGGTTTGGTCTGAGTATCTTTCCTTCCTGTTTGTATTCAGCTTGACATTTAGAGCATTGTATCTGGAATGCAGGCTGGAGGGGTTGTCTACCTGAAGCCTGCTCTCTGGATTCTCCTGTGGGTGCAGGGACTGCCCTGTGCTACACTTGTAGAGAGGACACTCCTCTCCACACTTCAGGTTATATATAGAAAGTGTTTGGTTACAGAACATGCTGTTTCTAAACTTGTGCTTCCTTTAAGACCATGTGCCAGTAGATAACACTGATCATTCTTTGCTGGGTGAAGTATAGGTGGGGAGTGGCTGAGGGCATCACCTTCTTTGAATCTGAGAGTGCAGTCAGTCCATCTGCTGATGAAGTTGTTTGGTTACTGTGGCAGAATGCCCCATTCAGCGCATAAAGGGAATTCTCCATGCAGTCGCCTCCCCTTTCCCTGCATGCTTTGGCCACACCACACCTCCACCCACCACACTTCTGCAGGTCCAGCTCCTAGAGCTCAAGCGCAGGGTTTCCGCAGACCTGTTGACCCCCAGGCTGTGGGTTGCTGAATTAGCTGCTGTTTTAGTTGGAGTCACAGTAAGCTCTTTCTTACCCTTTTCTGTGGGTGAGGAGCAAATTTAGAGTGCTTTTATTTTGTTGAAAATATTGGAACCTTCCCACATGCCAGGACATGGCAGATTGTAACTAAGTAAGAAGCAGAACCGGAGCTACCTCTAAGCAGTGTTTCTCAAGCACACGCTCTCAGGCACGTTGAGACCTTCCCCATGGAGGCTTCTCTGATTTCTTGAGCATCAGCACGTCTCAGAAGTAACTTTTTTGTGCTCTTCCAGGTCCCCTGTACCCTCATACTTTCCCCATTCCGCACTGTGCTAATTATATGACAGAGACTCTTCTAAGAAGCCAAATTTGGCCAAATTAATAGCTAGAGATACTGCAGACCGCCCGGCATGGGAACTGCAGTTGAAGAGGTGTCAGTTTTAATGGCCTTCTGGTTCTTTCGGGAAATGGTCTTGTAGGACACGGGTGATATTTTCAGTGTGTCTCTTACGTCAGAGGCAACAGTTAATGCCTCTGCTGTTGCTGTTCTTTGGCTGACGTAGTTTTAATAATGCTTTAAAATTTCTGCTACAAAGCTTGGAATAGAGTTGACCAGTTTCAAATGTTGGCTGCAGCTTAAAAATGTGATTCTTTGCAGTGTAGTAAGTTCACAAGCTAAATCTTTGAAGAGAATTTCATTTCACATTATGCTTCTTGTATACTTGGGATTAGAAACATGCCTTTTCAATCACGGGATTGTCAAACAATAAAGTTATTTCTTAATGTATTTTGGGAAACATTTTTTTTTTTAAATTAAAAGAGAATCTTAGGAATGAGATTGTCATGCTGAGACACTTTGCAGGTCTGCCCTCCTGCCTTTTTGGTCCTACTTACATTTTTTAAACTTGCACTTTTCTTAGTCTTCTGACATTCTGTGTTTATCATCGATCCTAGTTATCTGTGGTAGTCTCTCCTTCTTGACAAATGTAATTTTTAACTTGCTGATAAGTACCTTCCAATATGCGGACTCCTCTGGGAGGAACTTCCAATGTCTGTGTTCACATAAAGTGTGTGTGTGCTTTAATTTCCTCTTATTGGGATAGAGTATTTGTTTCACCAAGTGTTTCAAATCCAATGAAAAATCATATGCTAAAAAGCCTTCTTGTTATTTGTCAATTGATTTGTTCAACACCACTCAGTGGACACTGGCACCCTGCTTGGCATGTGTGCAGCTTGGCTCGAGGGAGGCTGTGACGTCATTTTCTAATCTCAGAGCGCTGGGCACTACCCAGCTCATTCCTGACCACTGCCCCCTTTCCCGTGAAACAAGAGGCTCAGATGCACTGCTGTCCAGCGGAAGTGTGGCTTGTGTGTGTCTGTCTGAAGAAAGCTGCACAGTTGGGACTTCCCTCCCATTTCTTCTGGGTGTCTTCGTAAAGTCTAATAACAAGGGGACATTGCCTAGGTTTGATTAATCACGGTAGCAATCATTAACATGTAATACTTGAGCCCCAAAGTAAAAAGTACTGTTTCAAAAGATTTTCATTATGAAACTGATAAATTCTTTAAAAATTAAAAGATACATTGCATTCATTGTTATCCACAATGGGTATTGTTCCCTGTGGGTGATAAAGCAAGTTATCTGAAATTGTGAAGGCTATATGAATTCATGTGCAGAGATCCCCATGTTGATTCTTACGGGTAGCCATCAGGTTATAACACCAGGCTGGAAGACCACGCAACGTTCTGATGATGTGCTTGCATTGGTGCTGCTGCAGCTGCTGCTGATGTGCTTGCATTGGTGCTGCTGCAGCTGCTTGTGGGAGGAAACTAAATCCTTTCTCTAGGATATGTAAGATACTCAGGAGAGAGCACAGGAAAGTAAGGAAAGTCATCCCATAACTTCGGAGGCAGAGGCGGACAGCCTGGTCTACACAGATATGCAGAAGTGAATTTATGTTAATCCCATGCTTGACTACCCAGCAATTGAGAGTCACAGCTTGTAACAAATTAACAAATTGCCAGTGCCCAAGTGCAGGCTCTTCTGATCTTACCATGCATTTCTTTGGGGTGTCCGATATGTGTACATTTTCCTTAGTAGACATTTTTGTGGTTTATATATTTGACCTCCAGTCATGCATTAATTGCAAAGAAGCTTGCTGATTTGTTGTGCAAGTGTTTCTATTTCAAGGAACTTAGAAAAAACAAACTTCTTTGTCTGGTGTGTCCAGGTTGAGCTAGTAGCTTCAGATAAAAGTCTGCTTTAGAGCTCTCAGGGATAAAATTTTAAAAGGCAGGGCCTAAAATGTAACCAGTCTTCTCTGCTAATATTTGTAATAAACAGCATTAGAGTCAGACCCAGGTAACCCAGATTCTTTTTTTTTTAAACTTTCTTTTTCACATGATTCATAGTAAAAATACTAAAAAAGAAAAAAAAACCTTTAATTGAAAATTTTACAATTGAAATGATTTTTTCATCTTACAGCTTACATACAAATACTTTTAGACAGTGAAAAGTGCTTAAAAACCAGCTGCACCCATGCCCTTGCCTATGTGCAGAATGGAGTATGGAGGCCATGTTTCCCTTCCTTGTCTGCTGCCCCTCCTGTGCTGTCTGCTGTGGTCTAGTGTGGTGTCATACTGTGACTTACGGCATGCACAGGGCCACAGGCCATAGCTCCAGTGGGAGGTGGTTGGCATCTCTGCTGTGATAACTATCCTTGAAGGAGGGGAACTTCTGGAGGGTGCACAGTGAGCAGGGAAGGAACTGAAAGCACAGCCTTGGTAACAGTGACCAGAAACAATCAAGTGTCACCCCAGCCAAGGCCCCCATTCCCGTTTTCCATTTTTCTGGGCTCATTTTTTAGGCAAAGCGCCAAGACTCCCCACCCAACATTTATGTACCTGGCTTCTGAGGTTTAGGCCTGAGTTAAGAAGCCAGGGAGCTCAGATCTGTATAGCAGAGAGGTTAAATCTCATATTAAATTTCGCAGCTATTCTGAAGGCCCACCCAATCAATGAAGCTGTTTCCAACTGTGTGTCTTTGAACTTTCTGTATGCATATATTTTGTTCCAACTAGAACAAGCGTTGCTAGGTGACTTGGTCTCAACAAGATGTGAACCAGATCCAGTTTTCACCCACAGGGGATACTTGGACACAGACACCCAAGAATATTTCAAGAACTGGTCCAAGAACTCGGTGGTTCGGCCAAGTGCAACTTATGGCTTGACGGCAATACTTCTCCTCCTCCTCCCAGTGTACACTTGGTCTCCTGAAAGTCCAAAGGTGAGTAGGGGTTAAATATGTCATGACCTATGAGGACCAGTGATAACAACAATGACGGCTAAAAGTGGCTTGAATAGTTAATCCTTTGTAAAACAACTTATTTTCAAGTAATTTGCCCTATTTTGTTGCCAGGTTCTTTCTCACTCTGCGGCAGCTCTGGTCTTCCTCCTCAGCTGTGCTAAATACCTTTTTATGCATAAGTTTTTGTTTGAATTTCTCAGACTAGCTTGGAAGCAAATTACTTTTTCTCTGCTGAGCCCCAGAACCTCAGAAGCCACAAGATTCGGACTTACCCTTGTCTCCTTTCTCTCCTTTTTGCCCTCGAGGGCCAGGTGGCCCAGGAGGACCTCGTTGTCCAGCAAGGCCCCTGTCACCTAGAAGCACAGAGAAGATGTGACGTGTATGAATACAAGGCCAAAGGTGTGGCACAGTGTGGTACCAGCAAAGGTGCCACTACTTCTCAGTAAGAGGTGGTCATTACACACAATTCCCGTTGCCACTTACCTTTGGGTCCTGGGGCGCCCGCCTCTCCCTTTTGCCCAGGTGGGCCTGGAATAGCTCCGTAAGCTGCAAGGAAGGAAAGAATCTGGTTTTAGGCTAGAGGTTGCCGGAGGTTTGGGAGGTCGAGCTGTTTGTTCAGAGCGACATGGATAGTGGAATCTGGGCTTGTACAGGGAAGTGGAGCTGGCTTCATGGTTCTGGAATCTCAGCTATGGGGAGAAGGAGGCATTTGTGTGTCAGGTCCCTTGTAAGACTAAGCAGCAGGCTGGGGAGATTAAGCTGGGGAAGCCGTGAGGGCATGCTTACTCCGGAAGAAGTCCATGAGGTCCTGTGTCACATTGCTGTAGGCAGAGAAGACCTTGCTGATGCCAGGAGGGCCCTGGGGCCCAGGCACGCCTGGTGGGCCCTGGACAGTGTAGGCCATCCCTTGTAGCAGGCCTTGACCTGCAGAACACCGGGATGCAGGTGTAGGAAGCAGATACCACTGCACAGTGGTAAGCTGCAGCAGAAGGGTAGTATCCTCAGACAGTCTCGCTCAAAGCAGCTGATCCTGAGCAAACTGCCCTGAGGAAGAAGCCCTGCAGCTTCCTTCTCTGTTCTACGAGACTGGCCTAGCCTGTTGTGACATTCCTTGGGGGCATTTGGCCTGCAGACCTGTGCTGATAACTAGAGGGAGAAAGGACTTCTTGGCTAACAACCGACAAGTTGTATCTCTGTTACTGTCAGACTTGCTCTGAGCAGAATACCAAGCCCTTTGGTGTTCCCTGTTCCCCGACAGCTCGGGTGTCAGTACTGGGGTTCCTTGCACTGAGATGGTGGAGACTTAGGATGAAGTCTCCTCTCTTTCGATCCCTGCTCATCTGATTCTAGTTTCTATCTCCACATTCATTAAAAACAAGGGCCCGTTTGTGAGGACTATGTGCCAAGAAGCACTCATGCTCCTCCCCCTCTGAGGTCCAAGGGTTCCAACTTACGCTGCATGCTCTCAGACACCCGCACTGCCAGCTTGTTATAATCCAGGTCTCCAGTGAAGCCATCCCGGAACGAATCGCTATTGGTGCCATATATGGCACCTGCAGCTGCCCCATAACCTCCGCCTGGGCCGATATCGGTACCATAGGGACCCCCATCTCCTGCACCAAAGGCTCCACCCTCACCCAGGGAGCCTCCATTGGCTCCCCCTATTCCTGTGGAAGAGCTGTAGGAAGTGCCTCGTCTGGCAGAGGAGCTGCTACCCCAGCTGTAGTTCTCTCTTAAGTGACCATTGCCAGGTGGTCCCTGGGGCCCTGGAGGGCCTGGAGGGCCAACGATGAAGCTACGGACATCAGGACCTGTGGGGTAGGAAGATGCATTAGCCCAGATTGTAATGGACGAAAGACTTGGGAGCTAGGGGGTCTCTGGAGTTTGAATGAAATCCCTTAGCGACAGAGTACATGTACAGAAGAATGCAGCTGAGCAGAGGAACTGGTTTTTCTGCACTGCTGACAATCCTGTGCCCACGGCACCACTTAAAGGAGGAAGGAAGACTTAGAAGGGGGCGCACAGGAGGCGACCAATGTCAAGGCACCTACTTGTGAGGTAGTTAATCAGCTCGCTGCGGAAGTTGTCGCTGTTTTCAGCTGCATAGGTAGCCAGAGCTGCTGAGACACCTGGGGGCCCTCGAGGACCTGGGGGTCCAGGAGGGCCTGGAGGGCCTGCGATGGAGGACAAGCCAGCAGCTGGGTGGGAGGAGAGGGAATGAGAAAGGTCAGGGTCCTGGGCAGAGACAACTAGATGCTCAGTTTTCCCTTGGCCTACTGTGGGCCCTGCATGGATGGAGGAAGGAGATGGGAAGGGAGGGTGGAGTAGAGGAGGGTGGGGGATGCTTACTGGGTCCCTTGCATGCAGGAGGAGAAAGGACCAGGTGTCCCCTTTCTGACATCATTTGGGGATAGCTGCTTCCCAGGGGCCCTTCTACCCCACAACCCACATCCTGTTCTCCTAGGCCTTCACTACCAGGCGTTAGAACCCTTATTCCTTGACTGATCACACGGCTCATGAGTTCTGCAAGGGCTACATACAGTTAAGAGCCTTTTTTCTTCCCCTGCCATGGATTGTGACCCCCTTCAAGCCCCAGGCTCCATCCCTGTGCATGCTCCTTTGGGGAATGGCACATTGATTCAGTTCCCTATGGTGGCCCTAGCGAGGATTAGGGATGCCCGCGGGGTCAGGCCGCAGCCCTCTGCCCTCCTCTCCCTGCTCCCCAGTGTCCTACTGTGCAAGTAGGATGAGAGGTCCTCCACGCTGATGCTGGACCACGCGCTGCCTGGCAACCCTGGTGGCCCGGGTGGTCCTGGAGGCCCAACGATGTCCCTATAATCAGACCCTGGGACATGGATGGACAGTAAGAAGTCAGTCACAGCCTGAGCCAAAGGTTCAGTTTCCACCCCAAACCTATAGACGGGAGTCCCTGTTTGGCCTTACCTCGGAGCATGGTGAGTAGCTCCTCATAGGATGTTCCTGGCAGGCCAGGGGGGCCTGGTGGGCCAGGATGCCCAAAACTGATTCCAGAACCTGGGGAACAAGGTCTCAAGTTGTTGGGGACTCACATGGGACAGGGGAGCTCAGATACAAATGACCTGCTGGGGAGGAGAGCAGATAAGCAATCTGGATCGAAGTGGGGTCTGAGGAAGGGAGAGAAAGGGGTCGGAAAGAAGATGCATAGGAGAGAGATGCACAGTCTGGGCAGTGACGCCCAATGGGGAGGGCACTGAGCAGAGCATGGGGCCACACTGCTTGATGGCTGCTGGATGTGGAATGCGCACGCATAAACAAGTGTGCTCATGGCTCAGACTTGCTCTGAGCAGCCCTGGAGACTGCAGTCCCTGCAGGGGTTAGTGCAGCTGGCAAGGGGGTGAGGAGGGGTCAGTGGGGCCATCTCAGTGACACTGGATGCCCTAGTCATCATCCTGTGTCCTTCTGACCACTCACTTGACATATAGTTGAGAATGTGTCTGCTAAGTTCTCCATAGTCCAAGGACAGGAGGGACCCATCTCCACCGACTCCTGGTGGCCCTGGGGGACCCGGGGGGCCCGCCAGGTGCTGCCGTAGGAACTGCCACACATCATTCCCTGGAAAGGAGAGGGTATGCTTTATGGATCAACCCAGAAGCCTAGTCAGATCCACCTGCTCAGCCTGGCTCCCAGTATTGGGTCTTGGTCCTTGGGGGACACTCAGGCTGGGGGTAATCAGCCTACTTCTGCGTGTCTGCAGTGGAGAAGGTGGGAGATTCACTCTCCCATGATGCATTTGTGACCCAGCAAGTGAGGTGGGACAGTGAGTGTCACAGAGGACTTGCAGGCCTTATAGAGCTCAGCCTGGGACTGGTGCCCACCAAGTGAGGTCGGAATAGAGCAAAGAGACCCCACTCTAGCCTGCGGTGGGTGACTCACGTCGCAGCATGGCCAGGATCTCTTCGGAAGAGGCAGAGGACAAGCTGACTCCGTAGCCAGACGCTGTGGGAAGAAGATCTCAGGTTACCCCCTTGGTCTCAGAGCAGACCCCCTATGTCCAAACTCTGAAAGTCAAGTCAGCTTGTCATGATCTTTGCAAAATGAACAGCATTTCATTCTTTGCAAAATGAGTAGCATTTCAAGCTACTTGAGAGGCCAGAAGAGGCGGGGTGAAGACTCTGGCTTTTTGTAGGGAATGCCATGATCTAGAATATGCTTTAGCCTGACTCCTACTAGATACTGTCAAGCAAGGGTCTCTTCTTGTGAGCAGAGATGGGCCTGTACTTGGGAGCATGCTAGTCAAATGCATGTCATGCCTGCTCCATCATGTCTGTTCCCAGCAATACAATGTTTGCTGAAGCTGGGCCCTGTGACCCAACTACAACGAATGTGGAATAAAAGGTTATATAGTCAGGGGAGGGGTGTGACACCCAGTGAATTGAGAGATGAGGTTCTGGGGATCTGTGGGGATGCTTTAGGAGAGGGTATCAGAGCACTGAAGGCTGACAGACTTACTCCGCAAGTAGCTCACCACCTGGCTTGCCAGCTGGGAGTAGTCGAAAGTCTCTCCTGTGATGGTGATGGCAGGCCCTGGAGGACCTGGTGGGCCTGGAGGACCCTGAACTCCAGAGAGATAAGACCTGATGCTGTCACCTGCCAACAAAGGAACGAACAGTCAAGCTTGTGGCCAAGAGCATCCAGCCTCCCTGTGGTCACAGGCGGAGGAGAGAAAGTCTGACCTGGTCCACACAGAGCCTGAGCCATGGCCAGCAGGGGGCCTGGACTGCTTGGGTTTTTTTCTAAATTGATATTTATTGAGCTCTACATTTTTCTCTGCTCCCCTCCCTGCCTCTCCCCTCCTCCCTTCAGACCTCCCACAAGGTCCCTATGCTCCCAATTTACTCAGGAGATTTTGTCTTTTTCTACTTTCTACTTCCCATGTAGATTAGATCTATGTAAGTCTCTCCTAGTGGCCTGGACTTCTTTGCTGTTGATAGAGAACCTGAGGCTGAGGCCTGCGCTGTCCATGAGGGTTTGGGCTGACAAGACTCTCTAGTCAGCCATCCGTGTGATATATTGCTCAAACACAGCATGGGAGGGGCATGAGCACTTTTGAAAATGTGTGTGCGCGTGCATATGTGTATCATTTCCGTGCATGTGTGTAGTATGCGTATATAGATCTCCAGGTAGGATGAAGACGCATATTTATGGACAGGTATGTTGGCCAGCTCTCGGACCTGCAGGCAAGACTACTTCAGGGGTGGAAGACATGGGCCTACCACGTAGGTGACTACCCAAACACTCCTTCTTCTCCCTCAGTCTCCTTCCCAAGGTGGGTGTCGGGCACTCACTCTGCATGTACTCCGCGATGTAGTGCTGGATGTCCTGGCCAGAGCTACTGAGGGAGCCTGGAGGCCCAGGGGGCCCAGGAGGCCCAGGCGGGCCCTGCATGTACGTAGTGCTGGATGATCCACCTGCAGGGAGGAGAAAGGGTCCTGACTAGGTTTCTTTACTCTGGGTGCTGACCCGGGGCAGACATGCCCTTTCCTTCCGCAGTCTCTCACCGTCTCACAGCCTCCCTTCTCTCAGACCACCTGTAGCTCTCAGGGCCTGCTGCATTCTCAGCTTTGGTCCCCAGGCATGGTCTGCTACCTACAGATGTGTATGCACCTTTTCTTCCATCCCCCACAAGCTTGTGTCCTCCTTAAAGGTAGCTCATGTAGAGCCTCTGAGGAGCTACCGAGTTACCATGGAAATCAGAGATGAGGAGATGAACGGAGGGATCAACATCCCTCACTGGAACCCCCCAGTCTCACTTGGAGATGGAAGAACTTTATTCTCTTTTAGTTCTTACCATAAGAGTGACCACCAGGGATGCCAGGAGTACCTGGGACACCAGGATCACCTGCAATCCAAACCGAGAAGCCCTGTTTGTACCACCTCCTCCAGGCCTAGTAAGTTCAGCACCCTTCGTGGGTGGCTCAGCAATCATTCCTTGTCTACTTGCAAAAATACCACGTTTCCCTATGGGGAGGCACCCTAAAATCCACAATTTCTGGGTCTGCATTCCTCTCTGAGCAGTAACACACACACATGCATGCACACACGCATGCACACACACACACCAGCACCGCATTCACAGGGACTCTGATCTACTTGTGTGGATCAAATGCACTCTGAAGAAGCTCAGAGTTCTCGGGGGTCAGCTCTGGCTACCTCGCCCCTACTCCAGGCTGTGTTTGATGTTTGCTGATGTCCTCTGTGGCCTGGAGGGTCTTGCAGAAGGACACCAGACACTGAGAAGGGATGGAGGCTCGCGTTGGAGTAGACAACCTGGGGTATCCCCGTCGGGTGGAGACTGCTGGCAGAGTTTCTGACTACCCTGCCACTTTCCTCCTCCCATCCCACACTGCAGGATGCTGAGCCTGGCAGAAGTGCCCTTGCCTGTCCAGCCTCGTCTAAATGCTTTGGCCACCAGGCAGATGAGCAGAGGACACTGGTCTCTGGGATCCCCGAGACACTGATCTTACCTTGGTCTCCCTTGGGACCCGGAGGGCCAGGTGGACCCGGACGGCCAGAGAAGAGGGTTTCTGCAAGGAAAGAAATAGCAAGAGTGTGGATGAGGCACTTCTGGGGAAGCAGCAGCTGGCACAGTACTGGGCACGCTGTAGATGCTCAGTCAACCCTTGTCCTACACGTGTGGGTTTGTAAGATGTTTGCATGCTCAAAAGGTTGGCATGCGAATGAATGGAAAGATGACTAGGTAGACAGGCGGGTAGGAGGGAATGATGGGTGGATGGATCTTCTTAGGGGCCTTGTTCTGGCCTAGTGGATGTTCCAGGTGGATGGATCTTTTCCAGGGCCTTGTTCTGGACTAATGGATGTTCTAGATGGGCAGATCTTCTCCAGGGGCCTTGTCTGGCCTAGTGCTTAATCTTAGGTTATTTCCACATATCTTTGTTAACATTGTTGCTCGTATTTGTGTGCCGGCACCTTTCCTGCTTTATCAACCCTCTGCTCTCTGAGGGCAAGAACCAGGCCTCCTGCTCACCCCAGGGTCTCCCAAGAGCAGTCCTGGCTCTCCCTTCTAATCCGGTTCCCAGTGTAGCTGCGCTGACGGAGCCTATTTCCCCACATGCGGCAGATAAAGGGGGGATTCTGTATTCATTCTCCCCTCAAAATTCAGAATGGGGCAGTCTGGGGAGCCAGTCAGGAAGGTCACACTGCTGAGACCACAGTCAGGCTGGGTCTGAGGGAGGAATGGGTGTGACTGGATGTCCCAAACTTACCTGAGTCAGCCAGGAAAGATCCTGGTGGTCCTGGTGGTCCTGGCACACCTTCCCCTAGGGAAAAGAAGCCCAGGACTCAGTAGAGCCAGAGGGTGAGTCAGCTGCCCTCTGTCTGAGGCAGGAGGCAGGGACACTTTTCCTGAGAGCCAGAAGGACAAGGCTCTTTTCTACCACTTCCCCTGTCCTTGTCCCCTCCCAACAAGGACTTCAGTTCTCACCTGGAGGGCCTCTGGGTCCTGGTGGGCCTGGGATGGAAGGCCCTGTAGAAGGTAGAGAAAGTGCTGGCCTTAGAGGGCTGGTTAACTCCTGATAGCAGGGTCTGAGCTTCCTTATAAAATGTTCATGTCCCCACCTCCCGAAGATCAACAAGATCTTACCTGGTGGCCCTCGTGGGCCAGGTGGACCAGGGGGACCCCGTAAGTCAACACCTTCTGTAGAGGGAAGCGAATAGAAACCAAAGGCTCTTCACCGTGCTTGATCTCTCTCTCACCAGGATGGTTGGTGTTGGGGCTGCCACCCAGGCCCTGATTGCACAACACCCCCTAGGACCCCATCTGCTGAGCCGCCCCCAGGTAGAATCAGGGTAGACTGCAAACTGACGTCAGGGGAGTGGACTTCTGCATCAGCCAACCAGAGCTCAGACCCACTTCTGTAGAGCCAGCTGGCAACCTCAGGCAACTTTTCACCCTCTCTCAGTCTGTTTCCCCCAGAAAGCAGGGTCACTGAGACCTGCACCGCAGAGGTGCTGGGATGACTCAGACTCAACAAGATGCCACCAAACACTGAGCCCCTAGTGTATTGACGACATAAGTGTTCAGGGGGTGGCCCAGCTGCAATCCCCCTTGGGTTCTTGAAAGAGCTTTGTGGACGGGAGACCACAAGTGTCAGACCTCTTGTGACTGAGAACCCAAGTTTCCTCATCATAGTTCTCTGAGTCAGGTGACTCCTGCCAACCATACTCACTCCCGAGGTCTGATCTGACCCCGGTCCTGCTGGAAGCCCTATCAGCCGCCCCATCAGCGTGACTGTGCCTCTCATACCAGACAGACCCTGCCGTTCTTCCCAGCTTCCATGGCAGAGCATGATCATTGTGACATGAGAGTTTGCAATGACTTCACTGGTGCAGCTGCCCAGGCCCTGACACCACTGGCATCTCTTCCATCCCTTCCCCCGCGACACCTGCCCTGGACAGCGGTTGCACTCACGGGCAGAGAGGACCTCGGAGATGGAGCTACCACTGCTTATGAATGAGTCACCAGCAAGTCCTGGCTCCCCTCGTGGGCCTGTAGGGAGGACACAGAGTTAGGGTGCACACTGCCCTCCTCCGGGGTGGGACCAGATACAGGGTAGAGCCTAGTCGAGGAAGGACAGACCTTCTCAGAGAAGTGGGGAGGGAGGAGAGGAGTGGCTTCCACCTGGTGGAGGCCCTGCTTCTGCCACGGTGAAGAGCCCGAAAGGCCCTGCTATTTCTTCCAAAGTACACATCTCCCTCTTTATCTAACATCCAGGGACCTCAACCCCACCTGGGAAGAATGTCCCCGCGACTCAGCCCACAGCCTGTGATTTTACAGGATGGGACATACCTTGTTGTCCTGGGAGACCAGCAGGGCCAGCGGGACCTGGAAACAGTTATGAATAAAAAAAAAAATGCTAAATCCCAACCCCACTCTGGGGGGTCACAGGAGAAGCGGAGGAAAGGGCAGGGGCTTGGGGATCCACAGGCATCCTCCCGGAGCGTGGACTAGCTGGCTGTGTCGGGACGGATTAGCCACCCGAGGTCATTTCTGTAAGACTGTGACAGGAAGGGGACCCCGAGGTGGGCAGAGCTGTCTCTTTATTGGTTGGGGACATTATCTCAAATGTCCCCCACTCACTGGAGCATATTTGCATTGGGTATAAATCATGTACTTAATTTGGACACAAGTATTTTAGATAATTAAGACATAACAAGACAGCAAGGGTTTGGGGGAAACAGGAAACGAATCTCAAGTGCTTGGCTCCCGAGCATTTTGTTTTGTTTCATTTCCGCAGGGTTTTAATCATCTATTTTATAAGATTATGTAGCTGTAACCACGCGCTCTCACAGGCCCCTGACAGCGGAACTCTTCAATAACGCTGCCACCCCTCACGGCTTTCCACACTTTTCTGCAGCTGTCTCACGCTGCTGGAGGATTTGGGGGTACTTCCCCCTCACAGAGCACTGGCATTTGTGTTTCTAAGAAACAAAGAGTTCAAGAGCCTTCCTTCTGATTGGTCCAGCTATGGGGGCAGACACCCTACCCTGCTGTTGGTTGCTGTGTGACCTTAGGCATGGGATTCACCCACTCCGGTCTCAGCTTCTCATCTGCAGATGCTGAGGATAGCATCAGGGTCCCCGGGTTGTGAGCATGGGCTTTCTGGAGCCCCCTTTTCTCTCTTCTCCTAGTTCCTGCCCTTGCTGTCAGGATTTGAACAAACATGGCTAGAATCCATTGCATCCATAACCTGCTGTTGACTGGGGATAGAGCAAGAAGACAGACTGACCTGGAGTCCCTGGAGGTCCAGGGGGTCCCATGGCACCGGGAGGTCCGGGAGGTCCAGGGACAGTGATTGTTGATGACCCCTCTGGAAACAGAAGGGACATGGAACACTGAGCCCCACTCCTGCCCTTCAGCGGTGCCAGCACCCAGTGGGCGGCAGGTGCGGCAGGCAGACTCTGCCTCTTACCCCTCTAGCATTTCCCCCCTTCCTCGTGCTAACCCACAGAGCTCACCTCTGTCCCTCCCTAAGCACCACCCACCTGCTGGCCGCTGACATGGAGGCCCAGCTAGGTCGGATGGCCCAGGTAGGCCAGGCAAATAGAACTCAGGGAGGGGCTCTCCAGGGCTGCCTACCTGCAGTCATGACTCTGCCCGGAGCACCAGGTTCACCTGGGGAGGACGAGAAGAGTAGACAAGAGGATCAATCAGTGGCTTGATAAACCACTCTACAAGTTCCTGATTGCGTTGGAGGCCACCTGTGGTCCTCGGGCCTCAGGCTAACGGGATTTTAATAGTGATGGGAGCCCAGGGAGCTCTGAGCCCAGAGCATCACTGTCTCCCAGAGAAGAGTTTCCTGCAAGGCTATGGAGAGTTCGCCCTTCCGTGAGGCCGGCATGGGGCTAACAGGAGACTCATTCTCAACACCTCCGCCCACCTTTTCTTCCAGGAATGGCCATAGGTGGAGAATTTTTCTGAAGGTCAAAGGGTACATAAAAGCCATGATCTTGTATGTACATTCTAGTTCCTGGAGCGTGGGGACGGACTGGCCCGGGGCGAGGGGAGGGGCTGGGCAGCACGAGAAGGGTTCTGGCGACTGGCCCACTGGCTGATCCCGAGTTACATACAAGGTGAAGAAAATGTAAGTGCGAGGGAGGGTCTTCCAGGGAGAGGACATGGGATTCTGTGTCCACCACTCGTGCCCCTCTCGACTGGAGACACCAGAGGAGGAGGTAGGGCACGGGAGAGATCCTGGGGCTGGAGCCAGGCTCAGTGTGAGAGAGCCTGTCAGCCATGTTTGAGGTCTCGAGTTTTACTCAAAGAGCTAAAGAATGTAGCTCCACCGACCAGGGTCCTCCCAGGGACTCTTCGTGAAAGGGTGGCTTTGGTTTCCTCTCAGTGCTTTGCTGATGTTCTCCAGCAGGGTGTCAAGGTCACAGCAGGAGAAAGTATTTGAGCTTGTTCTGAGAACACAGCCTAGCGATTGATAACTTTCTCTGTCCTGCATCTTCTTCAAAGAGGTCCTGAAGTCCCCTTGGACAGGAAGTCACTGAGGAAGTCTATGGTGCTATCCCTAAACCTATGAGGCCTATTGAAGCCACTAGAGACTTGTTATCCTAGGAAGTATGAACTCAACTGTCATTTTTCTTGGGTTACATTCATTCATTTATTCTCAAAATGACTTTTTGGTTCAACTGCTCATTGGAAATAATAGTTTTTTAATTTTTTTTCTAGGGTGACCATGAGTACTTGTGACCAGAGTGTCAGGGTTCAGGAGCATGGAGACAGTGTGTGTCCCTGAGTCCCCTGCATGCCTGGCCTTGCTCAGGGCTGGGGTCTGATGGGCAGGACTGAACTGGAGTGTCACCATGTGCCCAGGCGGTACTGCATTGTGCAAACCAGACCCCTTTCAGTCCTTTGACTTTGTTAGTGGGGTGGAAACACCCCTTCCTTCCTGTGTTTCTTCAGACCTGATGTCCTTGGTCACACCTGGCACAGGGTGGAGGATGAGACCAAGGGTGGCTCTAATCTCAGGAAGCATCAATCTCAGAAAGTCAGCGGGGATGGGGCCTAGGTGACAGGGGTATTTTAGCGGCAAACAAGGGCTTGGAAAACTTGGGGACCAGCAGCTTCCTGTCCTATATCCTGCCGCAAGGGCCTGGGAACATGAAGATGAGTCTTAGTCTGAGAATGGAAGGCTGGTGAGAGCAGGCGCCTGAGGACTCAGGGCCAGGAGGGCTCTTCACGAATGCCAGAGCTCCCACCGTCCCGCCTTCAGTCAGAGCCACTAGATGCCACTGTTGGTCCAGGCTCTGGTCAGAGCAGCCCTCCCTCTTGCCAACCCCTCCCTGCTGTTAAAATGGCTGATGAAAAGAAAAAAATCCAAAAAAAAAAAAAGAAAAACCTTCTTGGGAAAAGTCACATACCTTTAGTCCCCGGTCGGCCAGGGCTACCAGGAAGTCCTAATGTGATTAAACACAAGTCAGTCAGGATGACCAAAGCCTGGCAGGCAGTTGTGATTGTCTGCCCTCCCTCCCTCTCTTCTCTCTGGCAGTAGCCAGCGCTCTGCCTCTCAGCCAGGACACCCTGGCTGCCTGATTGAGGCAGCAGGACTCAGGTCTTGCCTTGAGTCACCCGGAGAGAGAGTGAGGGCCTCTCACCCAGAGCCCTGTCTGTGTCTGGGCAATGGAGGCACAGCAGGCATGGGTTGAAGCAGGCATAAGCTTTGGGGGATCCGACCCCCTGGGTTTCAAAGCTGCCACTGTCCCTCTCCCTGTCTAGGGCAGAACCTGTCGTGTCCAGAGCAGCAGCAGCTGAGGGCCTTTGGGTAGCCTGGACTCGATTTCACTGTAAATCTTTGCCCAGTTGCCTTTAGAAAATTAGGGCCTGGGCGTGTTGAAGATAATAAAAACCAAGCAGGTTTTACAGCAGGGGCTTTAACACAGCCATCTTCCCCGAGAGAACCCCAGGAGCCAGTGCTAACAGAATTCCTGGCCAGCAGGGTCCTTGAGGCTTGGGTCTTCTCCTGGGCATTCCTGCACCAGATGGGGCCAGAACCCAGCATGAACAGGATCTGACATCACTGACACCAGAAAGCCGTCTAGATTGTTCTGTGTGTGCTTTTCTCTTATGGTGCTTCTCAGAACTCACTATGACAAAACCTGAGCCTGTGGTGCTGGAGTTGTGAGTGGGAAGCCAGGCTCACGTAACTAGAGGCACTGGCCAAAGTGTCTGGCCTGGGAGGAGGTGGCAGCTGGGAGGGACTGCATGACTCACCCTGAGGTCCTTGTGGTCCTGTGAGACCTGCAGAAAAGAAGACATAGAACAGAGAGTTGAAGGGTTAGGAGTGTCCTCAAGGAGTCACAGCCTTGCCCGCAGCCAAAGGGGACAGAGGACACGGGAGGACAATCCAGACTCCTCGTCACTTGGCAGAGAGCAACTCTGTGAGTTTTGCTGTGAAATGCTCCTAAGCCAGCAGTTCTCAACCTTCCTAACGCTGCATCCCTTTAACACAGCTCCTCATGCTGTGCTGACCCCAACCGCTGCTACTTCATAACTGTAATTTTACTACTGTTATGGATCATCATGTAAATATCTGATATAAGCCCATTTGGGTTCATAGATCGTTTCAGGAATATAGAGAGCCAGGAACCTAGAAAGCTGCACACACACACACACACACACACACGCATACGCACACGCACACCACCATCCCCTCCATTACAGTTCACCTAGGCACCAGCCAAGGAGTCAGGGGTCCTGTGTTTTCAGAGCCTGGGGAAATGGTTGCCTTGCCTGCTTCTGATTTGCTCTTCCCACAGACCCGAGAATCCTGCTGTCTGACCCTCAGTGGAGATACTAAGAAGGCTTCTCCTCTCAATTGGTAGATACTGATGAAGGCCTAGGCACAGCCCCAGGAGAGGAGACAGGGAAAAGCTTGGGCAAGATATGAGGATGAGTTCAAGTCTGCAATTTTTTGTTTGCTTGTTTTTTGTATTTTGAGACAGGATTTCTCTGTGTAACAGTTCTGGTTGTCCTGGAACTTGTTTTGTAGATCAGGCTTCCCTTGAACTCACAGAAATACGCCTGCCTCTACCTTCCGAGTGCTGGGATTAAAGTGCCCCACCACTGCCCGGCTGCTCAAGTCTGCAACTTTAAGCGCACCCTCGTCCCTTCCTAGAGCCCCCCAGCATTCATCTGCTAGTCTCTCTTTTCCAAATGTCCAGACTCAGTGACTGATGCTGGGCCCACATCAGTCAGCATAACTTGCTGTTAGAGTCCTCCGCTGTGCTGTGGAGGGCGACGGGATAAGGCTTATGCACACACACGATGAAGCACCCGTGAGCCTACCTCATCCTCGAGAGTGCACATACACACCTGAGCATGCCTGAGTTGCACACACACACTCAAAAGACTGTGGCTTCCGTTTCCTGTCCCATTACCTGGCTTTCCTGGATCTCCAGAGGGTCCTGGTGGGCCTCGGGTTCCAGGCATCCCTGTTAGGCCTTGCTCACCTGCAGAGGGCATGAGAAATGGAAATGCTTTTCCCTCAGGAAAGCACCTGAGTCAGCGGGTTTTCCTGAGTGACATGCTGGCAGATAGGCAGGAGGAGGCATGGTGATCAAGACTGTGTTCATATCCACATGGTGCATGCCTCTTTGTTATTAGGATGTAGGGCCCAGCTATGCATGTGGGGTGAAGGAAGAGCAGGGAGGGGCAGACATGGGTGGCTGGTGAGACTGAAGACCACTGAGCAGGGACTAACCTCTGGGGCCTTGCTGTCCATCAGGGCCAGAAGGACCTGGTAAAGCAGAAAAGCAAAGTCTGTCAGGCACTTTTGGGGGTAGTTCTACGACCCTCTCTCTCCTGTCCCAGTAAGCCTGGAGCGTATGGTCTCCTAGCTGGAAGGCTTATGCAGCTGTCACTGTGGCTGTCAATCTCAGAAGCTTTGTTGTGGGGTACGCCGGGTACAGCCTCCTCCTCACAGCATTCCCCTGCTGGGACACCCTGTCCCCATTATCTTGGGTCCTTTAGGCCCTTGCCACCTCTGCTCTAAGCATAGTTCTAACCGCTGACCTTCCAAAGTGGAGCTCTCTGGGACTGGTCTCACTAGCCACACCTCTGTCTCCTCGGCAGGGATAGTTTTCCAAAGTGGCCACAATGAAATGCTTCCTAAATGTTTAGGAACATCTGAAATGCCACTTCCTTTGTCCTCCATAATCTCTTCTCTGATTGTATCCTCGTTCTCTGTGCCTCTCACGGTCCGTGTCACCCATCACAAGCTTTGTGGTAACGTGAGGGGGCGAGCTGTGCCCCTTGCTAGTAGTTTACTTGTCCTGTGGACAGTAAGCGCTTACTAATGTCTCCTTAAGTGAATGGAGGTGTGAGGGCCACATCCTCATTGGTAGGGCTTGAGTTTCCTTGGGACTCAAGCCTGGGGCCAGGCTTCCTGGTGCTTCCCTTTCCTGGCACAGACACCTCAGTTATGGCTAGTCAAAAGGTGGTGGTCTGGATCTGGCTTTGACACTACCCCTGAAGTGGGCTACTGGGGGTTCACCAAACTTCGGCCCCTGTCAGTTCTTAGCAGACAGAAAATCACCAGGAAGGAAGGATCTTGCTTATTCCAGAGGGGGGAGAAATTCCCAGAAAACTGTGTCTAGAGAGCCCAGGAGGGTGTCCGGCTCAAAACTGTCAGCCGTCTTTGTGGACACTTACCCATTGCGCCTTTGGCTCCGGGCTCACCCACGGCTCCAGGCAAACCTCGCATGCCAGGTTCCCCTGCAAAGGACAAAGGAGCTGCTGCCAGAGGCTAAGCTATGCATGTTTCCACCGTTGGTAGAATGCCTATGCCTGCTTCTCCTCCTCCGGAGGAGCTGACAAAGGCACCCTCTGCCTTGATGCCACGGTCAGGACCGCCTATCCCCTCCACCCCATGGGCAGCAGGCTCGTGTATAAGTCTGATATCCCTGGAAACAGCACGCTACCCTTTGTGGTGAAAGCATTATGACTTCCGTGCAGTGGGCAGGGGGTGGGCAGCTGAGAGGGTGGGTGGGGCACGCTTTGTGCTGCTTTGGGAATTGATTCTTAGTTTTCCCAGTCAGATTTCCAAAGAACCCAAGACAGGTATAACGTCTGCACCAAACAGACACGGATCGAGGCGGATGGATTCCATCTGGGTTCATGCTCAACCCCCATCTTTTTGTATTTGTCCCACGTCTGGTGACTGCTAGATCTTAACAGATTGTGAATGAGTTAAATTCCTGGGTTGGACTGACCTGTGAGGCCTCTGGGTCCTTTCTCACCCTGGTCACCTAACCAAATGTGGGGATGGGAGAAGAACTGTTAGCTGAAAGCGACGGGAGCCATCTTCCCCCATGACTGGGGCCCTGTGAGGCAGCTGCAGCAGGACGCTGGGGAAGTCCCTGCACTGACGGTGCTGGAGGAACCACCCACCCTCCATCCACCACCCACCCTCCATCCACCACCCACCCTCCATCCACCACCCACCCTCCATCCACCACCCACCCTCCATCCATCCACCAACTGGTTCTCCCACAACCTCTGCTGTGGACACACATAGGTGTCCTGGGCACAAGGAGGACAAGACCAGAGGGCAGACACCTGGCAATGTGCCTCCTCACTACCGTGGAGAGCATCCAACCCTGCCTATGTGATGTGGGCACTGTTTCCCCCTTTGTGCCTCAGTTTCCCTTTCTGAGGAGAAGAACGAACTCTCAGCTTCCTCTCATCCCCTGGGCCCAGAAGCCAGAGTCATGTGTGCTCTTGGAGCCTGTGCACAGGTTGTGCCTGGGTGTCCAGGAGCAGAGTGAGCAGCGGTGGGAACAGTATACCTTTGGTGCCTGGTGGTCCCATAAGTCCTTTGTCACCTGCAAGGGAAACAGATACCTTGGTGGCGAAGTCCGTGTGGGGATGACCAGGAAGGGTCAGTGCCTGACTCTGATGATAGTTTCCCGTCCATCTTGGTTTCACCTCCCCTTCTTGCACTTTGTAGCTGGTGGGTCACGTCCATCAGATCTCTCTGAGCCCTGAACCCCGACTTCTCTCTTGATATTTGAGATCTCTACAGAGTCCTTTGACTCCCTGCCCCTCCCCCAGCTTACCTTTGACACCAGGGAGTCCCACTTCACCTCGGAGTCCTTGGGGACCCACAGAGCCTGCCCACCAGAGGAAAACAGACAATCAGGTGATTGCAAGGGATGGGCACACATGTATACTTGTGCATGCACACACAGATGCACAGCCCTTTCTTTACCACAGAAGCAGAGGATTTTCACAAGAAGCAGCACACTTACCTGGGGGTCCCTGGGGACCAGGAGAGCCACTGGGACCTGAGAACCAAGGGAGAGACAATCAGAAAGCCAAGGACTGGCTGGGAGAACTTACTCTAGTGTCAAGGGCAGGTAAAGTATGAGGAGCTCATTCTAAAGGCCTTGGGGGTCCTTGCTAGGACAGTACACCAGAGGGTTCGGTGCTGACCCTAGTATCATGTCCTCCCTTGAGGGGAGGCCAGAGCTTGGCAGGGTCAGAGACCTTTGCTTCTCCTAAGATCCTGAGGGCAGATCTGAGGTGAAGAGAAGAGGCTGCAGCTGGCCATCAAGCCCTTGCGGCATTTTGTGTGTGTATCTGGGTCCCAGTCAGCAGGACATTGTCTGGTTTTTGGGCCCTGGTATAATCTGTCCAGTTGCTTAGACACCACTTAATGTGGCCACTGAACAGAAACAGAAATGTGTCCCAAGCTCCACTATAAAGTCAGAATCGTAGTCCAGAGTCTTGACGCTCAGGAGTCCCTTTTGGAAGAAAACTTTGTGGCCATCTTGTACAAATCTGGGGCTGCCAAGCAGCACTCTTGGAGAGCCCAGGACCTGTTCTTCTGAATGTGGACCCTCCCTGCAAGCTTGGGGTGGTCTTTCTGACATACCTCTGGGACCCACAGAACCTGGGACACCCGGAAGGCCCCGAGGGCCTTGTTCTCCAGCAATCCCTGAGGAGAGATAGAAGAAACCTGTTGAGAAAGCCCCAACCTCCAGTTTGGCAGTCAGGTTTGGAAGCAAGATTTTCCACTCTGCCAATGAGCTGGGGACCATTTGGTACCTCTGTGAGGCCACTCTTCAGTCACAATCTTCATTTCCCGCCCAGAGAGGTCTCGCACATAGATAGCACTCATCAAATACTGGCTCATTCTAAGGGCCGTGTGGGTCTTTGCCAGGACTGCATGTTAGAGGATCCAGCAGTGACTTTACTTGAGCGACCCTTTTATTTCTTTTAAGAGAATGTGGCTCTGAAAGCTTCCCTTCAGTGTTCTGGCACCAAACAACTCCTGGTGCCCTTCTCAGTTTCCCCATAAAGTCAACCTCATGGTTAAGGAGCTGAGTTCCAAACCTCCCCAGCCCTCTGAGGTGCTAGGCTTCTGACTCAGGCCTTCTGCTTTTGCCGCTGAGTCTCGGCCCTCAGAGGCCAGGGAGCTTCACCTTCACCTTCACCTTCACCTTCACCTTCACCTTCACCATACCTGGCTGTGCTCCCGGCTCTGCTACCCTCTGTTCTCTGCCTTGACCTGGCTCTGCTCCTCACCCTCTCTGGAAAGGTCACATTCCTGAGACCTCTTTCTCTGGTTAAGTCCCCAGACCACAGCCTGTTTCTTAGCCTGGCCATATTCCATTGTTAGTGATGTCTCCACAGGGTTTAGTACAGAGCTTCTCCACTGTCCACCTCTGCAGGTGCTTGGCCCATGCCGCCCCAAAGCATGCAGAAGGAAGGAGGGAAGGATGCAGCTAGTCCTCTAGGCGAAGGCGTCACCTCTTACCTCGGTCCCCTTTCTCTCCAGACCCAGGAGGCCCAGGTTCACCACGAGGTCCCATGGGGCCTTCTAGTCCTCTCTGGCCTATGGGTCCTTCCATGCCAGGATCTCCTAAAGATGGACATGGTCAGCCTCACATGTTAGAATTCCATGCCAGGGCCACGGACAGCCCCTCCACAGCCGAGGGATGGCCCAGAGCCTCTTCCAGGCCTCTGCTGTTTGTCTTGCCCTGCAGCCTCGCTCAACCCAGGACCAGAGTAACCCAGTGAGTACATAAAATCCCCCTGCCTTTGTCCCAAATCTGCAAGCAGCTCCTCAGTACACCAGGAGTAGAAGCCATCTTTATGTGGGCTTTGCCCTGAGGCCCTGCGTGGCTTGCTGCCTGAGGTCCCCCTTCTGCCTCTTTAGCCTCCAGCTTCCTTATCTACCCAATGTTCTTTGAACTTGCTGTTGGGGCCTTGGCTTTGGCTGCCCCCTCTGCTCAGAAGGTGTCCTTAAGTCTAATGTCGGCCACAGCCTCTATCTCTTCAAATTCCCTATTTAACTTCCCGCCTTTCTCTGTTGTGGTCATTGTTGTCTTCTAAAACAAAATCTCCTTAATACTTTAAAAAGGGGCGAAGAGGAAAGAAACGACTAGAAAAAGGCTCTTACCAATGCTGCCCTTTTGTCCCTTTGGTCCTTCTGGGCCTGGGTGGCCTAGGGGCCCAGAAATACCTGCAGATATATAAGAAGACCCCAGTGTGTATTTCCTCCAGAGTTGGCAGCTATGACTGAGCTTACCCAACCCAACATGAGAGGTGTGTAATCACTGCAGATTACCCACCTGGCAATCCAGGGAGGCCTCGGTCTCCTGTAGGGATGAAAGAAAAGGACACATCAGATGGAGAACGTGGCCTGGTCCCCTAAGGAGCTGCTAGAAGGTTCATTGGGCCTTCCAGGGAGCAAGTGCATCCAGTTACATTCAAATTGTTGCTAAACCCACAAATACATTTTTCCATCATTAGGCTCTGTGAGTTGCTTGGGACATAATTAGAGTGGAAATACGGTGTTCTCCTGAGTTCTGCGGTATGCGGAAGTCCTGTATGTCACCTGACTCATCAGGCTGGGGCTCCAGAACCACCAGCTCCCATCCTAAACAGGATCAGGACGGGTGTCGAATTGTAAATCTTGGAAGGTGGACTTAGGTAGGGATCCGGTGTGTGTGTGTGTGTGTGTGTGTGTGTGTGTGTGTGTGTGTGTGCGCGCGTGCTGAGGTTGGAAGAGTGTGGGAACCATGAAGGAGCTACACAGGGGAGAAGGGCAGGCAAATGGAGGAACCCACTTCCTGCCTGGGGTCTCTTATATGTTCGAGTGAGTTAGAACGGAGCCAAGGATGGAGGTGGACCTTTCTTAGGGAAGGTACCCCTGGGTGCAGGATCCCTTGGGGTGATGAAGACGGAAGGTTCCTGGGCCTCCTCATCCACTTAATCAGAGGCTCTGGGAGGGGCCAGGGTCTTTATGTAGTTCCTTCCCACTCTATAGGTGACAAAATGCTCAGTGATGTGATTCAGGGAAAGCTGCTTTGGGTCCAGCGAGGGGCAACAGGACAGGCAGGCTCCTCCTCAGGCAAGTGCAGACTACCGCTTATTAAAAGGCCTTTCTCAGCCTGAGGGTTTTCCTGCTTGCTTTAACCGTGCCCTCCCCAGGGCTTAAGGTAAACTGTCTTTGGAATAGTTACCTTTAGGGCCTTGACTTCCCACGTCACCTAAAACCAGAAAGACAGACACTGTGAGATGGTATATTAACCAAGAGCTGCTTTCTCATCCGTGTTTCGCAGTCATTTCCAACATGGGAACCACATATCACAGTGAGAAGACAGGGCCCTGTCAGGGCCCTCGGGGCAGACCACTAGGCTTCTCCGGGACAGTGCCCAGGCTCCCAACCCTGCTGTGATGTCTGACTGGAAAGTTAACTCCCAGCTTCCTGACACACAGGTGTTATCTGCATTCTTCCATTTGCACAAAGAGAAAAGGATTCCAGTCCAGGGGAATCATGCCACCCCTGCAGATATGAGGGCAAGGGAAAGTTTGGGTCACCCCACCCCAATACCTTTTGGACCAGGGTTTCCTCTGAGATTTCCTACAAAAAAAGAACAGACCTCGAGTCAGTCATTCACACATACACCACCACCACCACCACCTAAAGGAAAGTGGGGATCCCAGCCCAGCTCCATCTTGTCTCTTAGGGTGATGGAGGATAGGATGGGAGAAGAGAGGCCTAGGATGTCCCCGGGACAGGCGTAAGGCCACCCAGGCCCCCAGTTCTGGGCTGGCTGGCCTTGTTTCTGGACTGCTCTCACCGTTTTCCTGTTCTTTCATCAGCTTGTCCCTCACGAAGAGCCAGATCACCTCCTGGCTACGGCCATCCAGCTCAGCTTTGCCTCCTCCAGGTCCCAGGCTGGGCGCCTCACTCAGAAGGCGGTCCTTGCTACTTCTCTCCACCTTGTCTTCAGAATGTTGCACCCTGATCTTCTCCAGCTCGTCCACCCGGGCTTTGAGCTTCCTCACCTCCTCCGCTGTGATGGACACATGAGGACCGTCCGTGAGGACTAGGTCTGCCTCTTGCCCTGGGGCCCTGGGCTGGGGAAGGGGCTTCTGCACACGCCGGGGCACACAATTCAGGAATGCTCATGCAGAGATAATCCTGTGGCTAATAGGAACTAACATCTTCCTGAGCTTCCGGAAGCCTGGCTCTGTCACTACCCAAGCTGAATACAAGGATGGTTCTCCTTCCTCTGGGAGGTGGAGAGAGAGAGAAACAGGGAAAAGGATGTAGATGCTCAGGAAAGATAAAGGTTGAAAGGACCCTGAGGCAGTGAGGCCCTGAAGGCCACCAGTGCCAGAGCCTAGGGAGGAGCCAGGACCTTAGATTCCCAGTGTCCTCTTAGTGACCTTGAGACTTGGACCAGACGCCTCCAGGGGCTGTTTCCTCTTTGTTGGAAAACAGCCTTTGCCTGGCTAGTGATCTCCTGGCTCCTGGGCCCTAACGCTCAGGGCTGCTTGCAGTTTCCTAACTCTAAGAAGGGGGAGGAGGGCTGGGCACTTCGTTCAGGCTCTGGGCCCTTGGCACCTACCCAGAGCGATGAGGCCGAAGAGCAGACCCAGCAACAGCAGCCAGGTAAGCAGCAGGCCCAGCAGCCACTTCCACCAGCTGCAACAGGAGCCGCAGGGGCACCAGGCAGGCGCAGCCCCCCATGTTCCTCCGCCACCGGTGCCACCGCCGCCACCACCACCACCACCATGTATGGCGCCTCCACCGCCGCCTTTGCCTCCACCACCGCCGCCACCTCGGTCATAGCTGTGGTTTTCTGTGGAAAAAATAGGGAGGATGAGTTAAATTCAGGAGGCTCCTGTCTGTCTCCCTTCAAAATTGGTGACGTCACGTGGGTCGGTTCTGGAGGATTTGAGTTTGTGTGAGGCTTTTCATGAGCATAGAGATACAACTGAAAAGGAAGTCTGAAAACCCGGGATTTGGCTGTGTGACTCTTGACAAGCGTTTTTATAAAATGAGGTCAAACTGCTTTGTAAAACAGTTAAATGAGATTCTTAAGGAGTGGAGGCCGCAAACCCCAGTGCGGGCTTTAAAACATCTTCATTGTTAGGGGTGTTGCATGCATGCATGTACGATGCCTACCTCTGATTAGGCCTAAACCCCCATCTCAGGTCACTAAGCCTCACTTGACACAGCTCACCTTTGGTGATTCTCACATATTACCAAAACCTAAAATTATATTTTAAAGGTAAAGGTTGGCAGTTGTCTTGGAGGTGGGAACTTCATGCACTTCTTTCACAAGGCGAGGGAGGAGGGGAGGAAAGGGGCGGAGGGCTGGAGCAATCGCGGGATGACCTTCCTAGGCCTGTCCTATTGTGCCTGCCCTGGTGGGAGACTCTGGGCCTCAGGGAGCATGGCTGCTGGCCATTAGGAGCTGGGGGGCCCTGGAGCATCATCTTTGTGACCCCAGCCTGTCACTCCCATTCTCCATCTTTCTCCCATTTGAGCCTGTAGGAGACCAGATCTGGGTAGCTCATGTGTGCACAGGCTCCCGGCAAGGGCCACCTCTGTCCCTCTAACTGTGGCCAACCTCGTGGATCTTTCACAGCAGGGTCCCCCAATCTTACTCACCTACTGAGGTGACCTTGCTCTTTGTGGACGCAGCATTTAGGTCTCCTAAAAGTACAAACACAAGTTGGGAGTTGGACTTGAGGATGGGAAAAGCACACAAGTACACATACATGTATTCCCCCACACACGCAACCACACGTGTGAATCCCCACACACATGTGCACACATACATGTATTCCCACACACATGCAACCACACACATGGCACCCCCACAATGCACCCTCCACACATGAACCCACACAGTGTACCCCACATGGTATACCCCCACATGCACCCACACACATGTTAACCCACACACATGTGCACCCATACACACACGAACACACACACACACTTCCACATAAAAGCTGCGACCTCCCACCCAGCAAGTCCGAGGAGGGCTGAATTCTATGTTCCTAACACATTCTTGGGACTGCCAGTGGACTGTGAGCGTTGTGGTCCCAGAAGATGGAGAAATGAGGTGTGGCTTTATTTCACTAGGTGGGCAGGGTCGGATTTCTCTTACCATTTATATCTGCCTTTAGGCAGGTGTCAGCCACATATGCAGCCTGCTTTTCTTTTTTCAGGGTGTCCTCTGAAAAAGAAGCTGTGTGCAGAACCAGTGATAACCTGGTCTAACTCCCCACCCCCTGCCTGTCTCTTCACTCTCCCTGCCTGCTCGTATCCCCTGCATCCTGGGAAGATCCAGGTTAGCCTGATAGGAAGCTAGTCCGGTGTTGCTGGGCTAATCTCCTTCTCTGGGGCTGTGGCTAGACTCCCACTGTGCACAGACTCCCATGTTTTCCTAGCTTATCTGCATTCAAGGCAGGTCCAGGCAGGTATTTTTCATCAAAATGGAATCCCGGTGGCTTATGACTAACTCGCTGGCCTCCAACCGCCTTGTGAGGGTCCTGGGCCTCCTGTACAGTCTGCCCTTCTGAAGCCCACAGCACCCGAGCTCCGACTTACTTGAAGAGATGCTGGCAGGGGAGGCAGTGAAGACCTTCCCACTGTCCTTGGTCATGATCAAGAGCTCCATCTCCTTCTTGGCAGGTACGTTGTCTTTCTCCAGAATCAGGAACTTGCAGTCTTTATGCAGGAGGTCATCACTCTGGACACTGGTGGTGCAGGCTGTAGAGGAAAGCCATGGGTGAGGGGGAAGGGAAGGATGCCAAGGAGGAAGGAAGGAGGGCTCCCCAGTGTGTTGGGGGGCTCCTCTTTTAGATAGCAGTGCTGTGAAGTACCTTGGGGACCGGCTAGGTCTGGCCATCACGAGGTTGGGACAATGATGGACGTATTGGGGACTGGTCTATGGGGCCACCTCTCTATCTGAAGACACAGTGTCTTCATTGACCTTGCCAAGGTCTCTTTCATCAGCCAGGCCCTTCCTTAACTACAATAATAGACTGGTTTTACCATCCTGGGGAGGCTTTTTCTGACCGCCCCCCTAAAGCTCTGCCCTCTCATCCACGGGCCCCAGGTCCACCACATCGTTTGCTTGCTTAGGAATCATGTCATTTTCTGTCATTGTCTGGTGTACTTTGTCTTTGTGATTGTCACTTGCTGCTCCATTGGCACTGTCTTGCTCTCACTACGACACTACACGACTCTGCCCTCTTTTGTCACCTGGAAAATCAAACTGCCTGTCTGATACTTAATGGGTGCTTGGTAACGTTTTATTTTAAATGAATGAATTGCTGACTGGAAGGAGACACAGCAGGACCTAAGCACTGGAGGAAATAACTCATTGCATGGGGTGAACCCACATCCATAGAGTCTATAGGAAGCAGCTTCGGAGGGCTCCCAGCTTCTCAGAGATCCCAGGTAACAGAAAGCCAAGAGTTTACAGTAAGTATGGTGGCTGGAATATAACAGCAGGCAGGTGTAAGGGGGGGTGGAACTTCCTGCGCCAGTGAGGAAGATCAAGCCAGCTCATCCCTGCAGAAACATCCTGAGACCTTCAAGGGGAGCTGTGTTTGTGGATCTCAGAACACCCATGCATGGGTTGAGATCTTTCCCAGGACACCGTGTGTCGTAATGGCGCCTCTCCCATGTGCCAACCGGGGTCCTAGATGTTGGTAATAGCACTCACTAGCGGAGGTGGACACACCGGTGCTGGTGACAGTGGGGGGCTGCGGTACATTTTTCTTCACACCATATGCTGCAAGAGAGAAAGCGCCAATGAGTTGGGCTAATGTGGTACGGTGGCGTGGGAGCGGTCTGATCAGCTGAGAGAAAGCATTGAAATCAATTCTCTCCAGTGGGGTGTGGTGGGGTGGCTTAATTTGCTGTGTCTTTTCCTAGTTCGTAAGCCCACTTCCTTCAGGAAGTCCTCTTTGGCCTCACTCTTCACTTAATCCCTGCTGTTTTACAGGACTGTTATAGCTTCCCATGGGTTGGGCGTTCTACTCCAGCTAAGGAGTAGGCAGGTTGAAAGCAGGAGCCCGAGCATCACCGCGATCCCTTCCCCTGCTCTAACCCCTAGGTCTGCACAGGCGCAATGGCCTGGGCAGAACAACATAAAAACAACCATGGAGCTTTATCTGAAGTAGCAGTGGCTGCAAAAGATTGACTAATGAGCCAGAGAGACCACGTGACCAGCTGGGCTGAGAGACACACGGGAATGAAATGTCTCAGGGTGGACTTGCTGACTTTACAGGCTCCCCTGTATAGTCAACTCACAGCAAAGACAGTAAGGGATGAGGGTTGACATCTTAGGCTGCGGGGAGGAGGGGGGGCTGGTTTACTGGTGGGAAAGTTCTTTTGGTCCTTTTAACTCTCTATGAAAAGGTGTGTCGTGAGTTGTAGCATCTAAGGGGTGCCCATTCCCAGTTCCTGAGCCCCACACGTGGGCTACCAACCTGTGGAAGTGGTGGTTGTGCCGTGGGCTAGGACAGAAGAGCTGGGGGCCAGATTGTTCTGCATGCCAAACACTGCGAGGGAAACCGAGAACGGGCGAGAGTCGTGAGTGGGAGGATGCCCTCGAGATGCCGCAAGCATCCTGAAGCTGCCGGATCATTTCCCAGAAAACTGCTTTTACCAGGGGCATGCTCTTAGAAACATGGTCATCTTCCACCAGAATAAACTTTATCTATGGTTGTTTCAGAGTAAGGGCCATGTGACTAAATAGCAGTACATCACACAGGGCTGACAAACACTACCGCCTCCCCTGAAAATCCTGTCCCTGTCGCCCTCTAAACTACTAGGTTCGCTGTGCGGGGACCGGATGCAGACACACTGAGCCCAGAAGCACGAACACAGCACGTTTCTCCCTTTCTTTTGAACTCTTTCCTCTGACTCTAACAAACACATAAACTCCCTGGTCTCCCCTCCCTTTGAGGAAGCATATGCTGCAGGAGAGAAAGCACCAATGAGCTGGGCCAGCATGTGAAGATGGGTTCCACGGCTCAGGAGCCCTGTGGTCAGCTGGACACAGGAAATCAACTCTCTCCAGCAGTGGGGGTGGAGGGCTTAATTTCCTGTTAGTTTCCTACTTCCTCGACCCACTTCCTTCAGGAAGTCCTCTCTGACCTCGCTCTTCACTTAATCCCTGCTGTTTTACAGGATCCTTATTGCTTCCCATGGGTTGGGCGTTCTGCTCTGACTAAGGGGTTGGCAGGTTGAAGGCAGGAGCCGAGCATCACCACGTCCTTTCCCCTGCTCTAACCCCGAGGTCTGCGCAAACACAGTGGCCTGGGTGGCAAAACATAAAATAACCACTGAGCTCTGTTTGAAGTGGTTTATTTGAAGATCCCCTTTTGAGACAGCACACCTCTGTGCAACCCTGGAACTCACCACAGATCAGTATGGTCTCGAACCCAGAGAGCTACCCATCTCTACCTCTGGAGTTCTGGGGTTAAAGGTATGCACCTGCTAAATCCTTGCCCCAATTTTGACTCCTAGGCTTGATTGTTGACTTAACTGTCAACTTGACATAGCCTAGGATCATCTGGGAAGGATTGTCTACCTTGAGCTGGCCTGCTGACATGTCTGTAGGGGATCGGTCTTGATTGTCTTACTGGTGTGACTCCCAGAGCCTATGCGAAAACTTTGGTTCCAGGTGATCCCATGCCCTTTTCTGCCCCCTGCAGGCGCTTCACACTCATGATGAACAAACATCCGTGCAGATAGAATGCTCGCTGACGCAATAGAAAAATAAATAATTTCCAAAATAGTATAAGAGGAAGAGGTGTCGAGGTGGTGGCACTGACCTGAGGAGCAGCTGCTGAGTCCGGGGAGCAGCGTGGGGGAGCACGACGCCATGTTATTCGGCACTCCAAAGACTACAGCGGGGAAAGAGAAGACAGTTGACAGCAAGGCTCAGGCAAGGCGGAAGCTCACATGCTGTGCATACACCAGAACAAATGCTGGGAGCTGGCTCCTGCGTTCTGTTACAGTATTATCTGGGATAGCTAGACCCAGAGTAGAAAGTGGGTCCAGTTAAAGGTTCTCTTCTTAGTGGCCCCATCTTATAGAGTGAGATCTCTAAAAATTATTTGAATGGTTCAAGGGTCCCCCAATCAAATCACACTCATTGATATGTGGTGTCCGTATCTATTTTTAGTGTTCTTTTATATTATATTTCTTCTGATACTAAGTCTTATATGTTCATTCTATAAAAAAAAAAATACCTTCTGGGTTAAATTGAAATGAACAATGTTCCAGTGGGAAATGCTTTGGACATCTGGGCATAAAAAAACAAAAACAAAAACAAACTCTTCCCAGGAGGCCCTGGGGATGGTGCCTTGATGGGGGAGAGTCTTCTGTTTTGTGTTAATTTCATTGGTTAAATAAAGAGACTGCCTTGGCCCTTTAATAGGACAGAAAATTAGGTAGGCGGAGTAGACAGAGCAGAATGCTGGGAGAAAGAAGCCAAGTCAGTGAGTCGCCATGATTCTCCCACTCCAGACAGACGCAGGTTAAGATCTTTCCTGGTAAGCCACCTTGTGGTGTTACACAGAATATTAGAAATGGGTTAAAGCAAGATGTGAGAATTAGCCAGTAAGAGGCTGGAACTAATGGGCCAGGCAGTGTTTAAAAGAATACAGTTTCTGTGTAATTATTCTGGGGCTAAGCTAGACAGTGGCGGGAAGCCGCCCACCACTCCATATTACAGCGCCCACCGAGGGAGCTCTTCAGTGATAGAGTAGAGCTGCAGCGGTCCCCATTGGTCCCCATTGGTCCCCATTCTGGGAGGGAGAAACCAGGTGCAGCCCACACCTTACCCGATCCTGTTGAGTAGGCGTTGGTGTTGAGGAGGGAGGAGCTCTGGGCTGTCATGTTGTTGTGATAGGTCCCCATGGAGGACCCTGCGGGCAAGGTGGACGACCACATGTGGGAGGGGAGGTTGGTGTCCAGTACTGTCGCGTCATAGGTTCCTGATACTGGAAAGAGAAACACACGTGTACCTCACCATGAGAGAGATGGACACTCCTGCTGGGGGATTTAGCTGGGTACCACATGCTCAGAAGACAGCCGAGCAGGCGGATTAGAGTGTCCCACTCAGACATTCACAGTGTGGAAGAGCAGACACTCGGTGCTTTCCCGACTCTGGTAAAGCTGAAGAGGCACATCTTTCACACTGTTCCCAACTCCCGGTGACAGCCTGGGCTGTGGCGCTTACCTGAGTGGGAGCTCGCGGTCACCGTTTTGGTCTCTACAGTGCCTTTCTTGGGGATGGGGAGCGTGTTGGAGGTGTTCCTGGTGGGACTTGCGCTTGCAGATCGGCTCCCCTTAAGCAAACGCTTGACTTCATCCAGCTCTGTCCCTGCGAAAAACCCCAGACTTTCCCATCAGGCCCTGGACCCTTTCCTAATTCCAAAGTTCAGGGAAGGAATGCTGTTGGTATTCTGATATTAGAGAAGTTGGTATCTGCCCCGTAAGTGGAGACATTTCCCATTAGCTTTGCAGTTTTTGAATTTTGACAATTTGTAGCTCCTATGAACCTGCCAGTTTGCGGCTGGGACAGCCTCATAAGTTTACAGGGCTTCACACACACAACTCAGAGTCCTTGGAGGTATTTCCTCACCAGACTCATTGGGGTGACTGTGCCTGGAAGACACTGTCATCTGGGATAGGGCAGTTAGAGGGCTAGGCTCTTTTAAGAAACTAGCTTGACAATTGGCTTTCCCCTGAATATGGTGTCTTGGGCGACCTGGTATGCCTGCCAGTGTCGAAAGGGATTCGGGGGAGCACACGTTATCCCCTAACTCCTCGGCTCTGCGGTTCCTCTGCTTCTGATTTACTCTGAGACTTTCCTGAGTGCTGTCATTGAAGTAGGACAGTGACCACTTACATCTGGTGGATGGTGACGCACTCTGCAGTCGAACCCGAATTTCGCTCTCTGTACAAGGGGAGAAAAGAGAAGGAGAGGCTGTGGATGAAGGAGTCTGCATCACCATCCTGCACCCCGAGTTCTGAAAAGAGTGTGACTCATTGGGCTACTTTGTGTGGCTACAGAAGGGATGTCCTCTCTGCCATAGCACTTGCCAGCTGACTCCTAGATACCTGAGACTTCACAAACCCCAGGCTGAGCGAGGAAGCCCTGCTTGTCACCACCCACCTCACTGTTGCCAGCATCTTTCTGCCTCCGAGAGCCCCTGAGATGGGGACAAGAGATCTCGAAAACCTCTGGTGTTCACTTTGTCATCTAACAGGAAGTCGGTAAGATGGCAGCGTAGAGCTAGCTTCAGCTAGGGAGTGGGAGACTTTTAACTCTTGTCCTAAAGCTGCAGGTGGCTGGTACAGCTCCCGGTGACACACAGTGGGAGCCTAGCCTGGTCACGAAGAACACCACGCAGAGCCTGCGGAGGACTCTGCCTTCAGTGCAGCCTGACACAAGGCTCCCACGTTGTACAGGCCTCTGCTAGGGGGCTTTCCTAGAGTCTTCCTCTCCTCTATCTTTCTAGATGACAAGTTTAAAGAACTATCCCTTGCAATAATTTGTCAAAGTAGGGCTTTTGCTTGTCTTGATTTACGAAGGAATCAGAGCACATCTAGGAGACCAGCTTTGAAGACAGATGTGGCACCCGTATCCCTCAGATTGCCACTGTTTGGTTCCTGCCCATGGAGCTTTGTGGGTCGTTCTCAGATGCCCACTCCTACGCTCACAGAGTTGTCTGAGACTCTGCAGTGCTCCAGGCTCCTCAAGATGAGGCTCTTCCTATCTACGCTTCTGTGCTCTGCTTCCTGGCTACAGGTTGACAAGTACTAGTTGCTCAGAGTGAACTGAACTGGATTCAGTGATAGTACTCACCTCGCGTTTGGCTTCGTCCTCTGGTTGCAGAAGATGCTGAGGAAAAGAGAAAAGTAACCTCAGGCACAGACTTGATATGCTGAATATTTTTGAACTCGGTGATATTTTCACAGTGTCTAAATCCACACACACACACACACACACACACACACACATATATTTAACTGTATAGAAGATGCTAAATAAATGATGCCTAGAGGCTGAAGGGCAAATAATGTTCTTGCAACTCCTTTATGCAGTTTAGTTGAGCAAGTGTTGACCTAGCTGATGCTTAGAGCATTGTGTCGGAGGTGTGTGTGTGTGTGTGTATGTGTGATGCATTCGGACAAGTGGAAACACTGTCAAATGGACCAAAAGACTGCTAAATCTTTAAGTTTATTAAAGCCTACCTTGGCTTTCCCAACATAAGCAAATATAGAAAATTATAATCATTATGTAACCACTGGCCCTAACCTCACTTCATTTGTACATTGAGATTCTAAGAATACAGACCAAAGACGTAAGGTCAAGAGAAACACTTAAGGTCAAGTGAACACACAGCTCAGTGTGGCACAGGTGTTCTGCGTGGCCCTTGGGAGGGAGCTGTAGACAGACGTCCAGCGTTTGAACATTGTGACTGGTGCTCCTCCTTGGTGGCAGGTCTCTGTGAAGACCGTGGAAAGAAGAATCCCTACAGCTGTTGCTTGGCCTTAGGGGCGCATGTGTCCTGGCATGAACCGTGTACACAGCTTACCATCTTAGCAGCGTCATGAGCAAATGCTGACGACATAAGTTAATAAACTGGCAAGGATGCATCAGGGTGAATGGGAAGCAAGTCAACGGGAGCCAAACTCTGAGAAGAAACCATTTTCTCCTGGTATCCCCTGACCAACATCCATCATTCAGGCATTTCCCCAGCACCCTGTTAGAGCATTTCACCAGCAAATAAGGAGACGACTTACCGAGTTCCTTCCGTGGGTACTCAGGGGAGGAGTTGCCGCTGGAGCTACCTGGAGAGCAGATAGGACACTTAGTACAAAAGGCTGCTTACCTCTACAAGGCTTCCTACGGGACAGGGGTGCCAGCTACTATGTCCCATAGCTGGAGGTGTTTCGGGAGGCAATGGGTCGTTCTTGTAGCAGAATTCACCCAAGCAGGGGCCTTCCTCCTGCTTTCCTGTCCCAACTGTTGGCATCACTTTGCTCCCCGTCTGCATTTGGAACCCCAGGGGCACAGCAGTTTCCAGGTTCTTACATTTCACATCGGTGGCAAAGTCTGCCAATTCTGTCTCTTTTATCTCGCACTTCCCAGCCCCCTTTCACTTCTAGAAGCTAGTCGTAGCCCAGATTTCTCTCTTCTCAACCACTGAAGATTTCCTTTTAAACTGTCACTTGTCCATGGCTTTCTGGGCCTCAAATATGATCACCTGTTTGCCTCAAAAACCTCTGTGTGTTCTTATATGGAGACTAAAGTCTAAGCCTAGTACAGAATCTGGGCCTCCCAATCCCTCTTTAGCCCTGGACCACCCGTGTCTTGTCCTTCCATCTATGAGTATAATCACAATGCCAAGGCCAAGCACCACCTTCATGGAGTCATCCTTGATTTCCTCAGTGGAAAGTAGGAACCCCCTTCTACTCGGTATTACCACTTCTTCCTGTCACCTTAGACAATAGGGCCCCCGAAGACAAGATCCGTAAGGCATTTCGCGTAGCATAAAACACGGTAACATGCTAGTTGGAAAGCGATTAAGTGAATAAAAAACGATTGAGTGAGATAAATGAATGCAAGGCTATTCCAATAATGCGACCTGTAAGAGCAGCCATGCAGTGAGGAGGAAGATGGGTGGAGTGTGGACACAAGAGAAGCCAAGGAGCCAATGTGCTGAGGATGAGTGGCGTTACACCAGGAAGAGAGTCGCTCTCTTTTGCATATACCTTCGTAAGTTCCATGGCGGGTCATGTGAGTTTTCCTCTCAAAGGTGGAGCCTGGAGAGTTGGGCAGGGTGGAGGCCGGCGAGTGAGCTCTCCTGTAGCTGGAGGTGGAAGCGTTGCCCCGGATGCTCCCGCCTGCCATGGGGAAGCAGTGTAAGTGCTAGTGGCACCACCTCACCAGAGATGCTTCCTCAACATCCACACATGGTTCTATCAGCCAAATAATCTCCAGGCTACTAAGTGAGGACCCTGAGAGAGGGGCAGGGGGACTCCAGGGGACACAGGAGAAGGAAGGCAGGGTTACTGCTCCTGCCTTTTCGGGCAGACACTGAGATGCCCTCAGACACAGAGTGCGTGGGGGTTGTAAGGATGCTTAGAGTTTTCTTGAGGACTTGATGCTGGACCACTGACTCCTGCTCAGAGGGACGAGGGCAGGCTCTCCTGAGTGTTAGGTTTCCTTTTTATTTCCCCTGCCACCTCTTAATGGCTTCCAGAGTTGGTTATGTGGTTTGTTTGTTTGTTTGTTTGTTTGTTTTGTCATACTTTTTGCTGTGTTTTGTTTTCACGTGGAAGATGGCCTCACAGGGAGCGAGAGGGTCACAGTGGGTGCTTACCCAGCAGAATACTGCAGCTCGGAGCTGCGTGCCATTAGGGCCGTGGTTCTCAGCCTTTCTAATGCCGAGACCCTTTAATACAGATTTTCATGTTGTGATGACCCCAACATAAAATTATTCTTATTGCCACTTCATAACTATAATTTGCTACTGTCATGAATTATCACATAGATATCTGATAGGCAGGATATCTGATATGTGACCCCTGTGAAAGGGTCATTCAGTCTCTAGAGGGGTCGTGACCCACAGGTTGAGAGCTGCATTCGACTTTCTCAACAGAGCAAATCAGACTTCACCTTTCACTCCTTGTTAGTCCGACTGTAAACCTCAAACACACACAGCCTTTGCTATATGATGTAGCTGAGGTAGAGGGACTCAATGGGGGAGCGACAACCTCCCTCGCAGGCTTCCTAACTGGTGAGTGTCACCTGCCCTGGAGACTTAGTGAAAATCGAATCCATTTGCTGTCGGTGTCCAAAGCTGGTGATTTGAGAGCCAATCCCTCCCTTGTCATTTGGGTGACTCTTGGGGCATGTGGAATGAACGACAGAGAGGGCAATGGTCCCCCTCATGCAATGACCGCAGACGGTGGATTTCCACTGTTTCTCATCTCCGCTTATCAACCTGACCCTCAGGCCAGACTCCACTTACTTGAGTTGATGTAGCCGCTGCTGCCATGAGTCAGACTTTGTTTCTCTAGCCGACTTCCTCCACCGAGAGAGCCTGTCTTAGCGTATCCATTGCTGGTGCTCCCTTCTGTCAAAGCAGGTGACAGTCTCAAGGTGGAGCCTGTCCAGAGGGTCTCCTCATCCTCTGCTCTGTGGAGCCTTCCCAGCCCCCCTTCTTGTCAGGCTCCCGCTGGTTGGGATGCCTGGCCTACCACGCTCCAAATTCTAAGCGGCCCTTTCCCCATTCCTCATTTTCAGTACAGAGGTCTGGAAAGACTGTCCTGCTTGATGTGAACGAGAGCTTTCTGGTGGAGCACGGAAAGTTATCCCGCAGGAAAAACAGACCAGACAGACCAGGCCGCTGAGTGACGCGAAGCCCCGCCCCCATCTCAGATGGAAGTTGGGACCCAGACTCAGCAGCCGCGAGAGGTACTGGGAGGATGAGGCGTGGCTCTGGGTTCCACTTGACTTGCTTCTATCATCCTGCTGTGGCCATGGATGGGTGGGTTCTCCCCACCCCACAGCCCACGTGGGCTCAGGGGTAGTGTTGGGTCTCTGTTGTTAGAATCCACCAGGAAGATTAGAATCCACTTAAAAGCTCCCAAACAAAAGTGGACTGAAGTCAAATGCTCAGGGAGTATAGGATTCCCCATATTTTACTGACTATACTAGCAAATCCATAAAGACAGACGCAGACACCGTTCCCGGCAGATGGAGTTCCTAGGGGTCAGGGGGAGCAGAGGGGAGTGGGGCATAACTGCCAAGACACAAGGGGGTTTATTGCAGGGAGTGATGGGAATATCCTCAAATTATAAGGAAACACACAGTTGCTGCGCACTTCCTCAGCAATTCACATGACTTGGACTGGTAGTGGTGTATAATCCAACATCAGCCTAACTGCTAGCAAAGGCTATCTCCCAAGCCAGGTGGTGGTGGCACAGGCCTCCAGCACTAGGGGTGCAGAGGCAGGTGCATCTCTGTGAGTTCAAGGCCAGCCTGGTCAATAGACAGAATTAGTTCCAGGATAGCTAGGGCCACACAGAAAAATCCTGTCTCAATCCCCCCCCCCCCCCACACACACAAGAATATGTTCCAGAAAGTTTGGATTTTCTCAGTGGGAACACTGTCGTGTTCAAGATCACAGCATGGAGCCTTCACATGGGACCTACTGGGACAAAGCTACTTACTCGGTGGTAAAGATGTGAGTCTTGTAGTTACTGTTTCTGTGATAACTGGAAAAGACAAGCAAAAGAGGAGACGCTGTAGCTTTTACTGACATTACTGGGTTAAGCCCATTGTTAGGCTCAACAAAGCTTTTTACATAGCTGTGTTTTATGAAAAGAAATCTGACCTATTATACATGAAAATATGAGCAGTAACAATGAGGGTCAATGTCCTAGACTATAAATTTTCTCTTTGGTGCCTATGGTGGTTTGACTAAAAATGGCCTCCCATAGGCCCATAGGGAGTAGGGCTATTAGGCCTTGTTGGAGTAGGTGTGGCATTGTTGGAGGGATTGTGTCACTGGGGGTGGGCTTTAAAGTCTCAGACGCTCAAGTCATGCCCAGTGTGGCATTCTTTCCCTGCTGTCTGCAGATCCAGATGCAGAACTTACAACTCCATCTCCAGCACCATGTCTGCCTGCGTGCTGCTAGGCTCCTCACCATGGTGACAATGGACTAAACCTCTGAACTGTGAGTCATCCAATTAAACGTTTCCTCTGTAAGAGTTACTGTGGTCATGGCGTCTCTTCACAGCATGAAAACCCTAACTAAGTCAGTACCAAAAGTTCCCCCCCAATTGTTAGAGTGGGTTGTCTTGGCACCGAGGCCTCTCACTGACCGCTCCAGTCCAGGCCCAAGTCTGAGTCTGGAAGAGGGCCAGCCTCTCCTTTCTTACAGTCACATATCCCTGCTCTGTCCCTTTCCAGAGATGCCTGGGCCAGCTGGGGCCAGCACCCTGGCTGATCTCACTCTGTTTGCCCTGATGACGTTGGAGGTGTCTCTGGGATACCATGATTCATTCTGGACCCTCAAGGACGTGTGTGAGCGTAGAGGGCAGAGAGAGGAAGGGAAGCCTGAGTCAGCCACTTTGGGAGGTCAGTAAAATGAGCATCAACGAATCCCAGAGGCAGACTTTGAGGAACATCCCCTGGTACCACACAACCACGAGCTTCTCCAGTGGCAAGCTTACGGAGACACTAACAGCTTCCCGTGTCTGGGAAAACAATGTTCAGAAGTAGGACTCTTTCCTCAGGAGTCAGTCCCCTGAAGTAGCATGAGGCTTGGGTGGATTCCCAAAGCCATAACAGGGTCAACTTTTTGTCTGACTGTGGCCATCAACACACTACCTCCCTCACTTTCGGCCTCATCTGGCTGGAGCCCCTGTGTGTGGGGGCATGCGTGTGCCATGGCATGTGTGGGGGGCATGTGTGTGCCATGGCATGTGTGGGGGGCATGTGTGTGCCATGGCATGTGTGGGGGCATGTGTGTGGGCATGTGTGTGCCATGGCATATGTGTGTGGGCATGCGTGTGCCATGGCATGTGTGTGAGGGCACATGTGTGGACATGTGTGTGCCATGGCACATGTGTGTGGGCATGTGTGTGAGGGCACATGTGTGGGCATGTGTGTGCCATGGCACGTGTGTGTGGGCATGTGTGTGCCATGGCATGTGTGGGGGCATGTGTGTGAGCATGTGTGTGTGGGCATGTGTGTGCCATGGCATGTGTGGGGGGCATGCGTGTGCCATGGCATGTGTGGGGGGCATGCATGTGCCATGGCATGTGTGTGGGCATGTGTGTGCCATGGCATATGTGTGTGGGCATGTGTGCCATGGCATGTGGGGGGCATGTGTGTGCCATGGCATGTGTGTGAGCACGTGTGTGTGGGCATGTGTGTGCCATGGCATGTGTGGGGGGCATGCATGTGCCATGGCATGTGTGGGGGGCATGCGTGTGCCATGGCATGTGTGTGGGCATGTGTGTGTGGGCATGTGTGTGCCATGGCACGTGAGTGTGGGCATGCATGTACCATGGCATGTGTATGCAACAGAGAACAGCTTGCAGAAGTTGGCTCTTTCCCTCTACCATGTGAGGTCTGGATTTCACATTTAAACCGTCAGCAGGCCGGCACCTTTACATGCCAAGCTACCTGACTGGCCCTCACTGGTCTTTAAAGGAGAGTTTTCTGTGTGCTGTGCACATGTGTACAGATGTGGTTGTGCAGAGTACGTGCATGCATGGTTGTCAGAAAGAGGGGTGAAAGAGCAGGTGGAAGGAGATGGTCCAGACCACCGTGTGCCGCATGGAGTCAGCTGCTGCTGGGATTCCAGCCTTGCTGCCCATGCATCCCTGTCCGTCACATGGCATGTCTCTAATTAGTTCTCACTCTCCCAGGAGCACAGGGTTATGAATGCTGTGGAGACCGCACTCAGGACATTAAAGGGAAGGGCTTGTCACAGGAAGGTGACAGCTCCATTTGAATAATGGCCCTTGAGCTCCCAGCAACCTCTCGCTGCACCGACCTTAGGGATTTTCTGATGCATAAAAATAAATTATTTCTAGCCTGAAGTTCTAAGTCAGTGGAGCCACAATTTTTCGTTGTTGTTGGAAATAAATGGAAGTCACACAATAAATGAAAAAGTTTCCTAAATTAGAGTTGCTGGAGAGACAGTCTAAACGCCCCCGAATTTATCATTTGGACAGTTCCACAGAGGAAATGTATGTGATTTCAAGTTTTAGTGTGGATTTCGAGAGTGACACCAGCGTTATTTCAACCTAGTCCCCAAAATAAGTAAGACATTCTACATTTAGATTTCTGTTGTCCTATACCCCTGGTTAGAGAAGGGTTAAATAAAGGAGTTAAACAGACCACAGAGAATCAGGTAGTCATCAAACCACAGAGTACCGGGCAGTTGTTGAAATTCTGCTCATGGAAACTATGGGGAAAAGAAAACCCTTCTTTCCCTCCTCCCTTCTCCCTCGCCTTCCTCCTTTCCTTTCTTTATTTCTCTTTTGTTTTCTGTCGGACTGGGGATAGTGCCCTGAACCTGGCTCAGAAATGGAGATTTTCATCCCGGAACAAGATGCAGAACTCCTTTGGTTATAAGCCCATGAAAGCAAAAATCGAGAAGATGGCTCCCGGGCGAAGGAGTGGAGTCTGCCTGCCGAGACCTTTGGAGATACCGCGGTGACAGCGGACTTAGAGGAGATGATTGCAGCTGTTCCCAAAACAGTTCTGAGTAAGAGAAATCCAAAGAGTCTTACGTCTTTCAGTGACTTCAGTGCCTTCGCGCTTGTTTTTCTTGGTCACATCCATCCCATAGCCACCTGCAGGAACAGAAGTCACTGCTTTTAGCAAGCCTAGCCCCGACGGCACACATTCAAGCTAATAGCCAAAAACCTGTCTTTAGCACTCCAAGCCTAACTCTTGTGCATACCTGTACAGGCACCAGTCCCCATCTGGTCCCTGATCGTAACAGACAAAATCCAGCAGTTCCCCTGCACAGTCTACCCTTTTCAGAATCTAGTAGGACAGCCTGCCCTCGGCTTCAGCAGCCTGGTCACCCTGACCTTTGTCTAACTATACGCTAGGGTGATGGGGGACCGCAGGATGTGTGCTGAAGTCGTATTGGCTATGGCATTTTAATATGCCTTGTAGTGTTCTGTGTTCTAGCGCTGGGAGATGGCTCCACGGGTTAAATACTAGTGAGTAAGAATGAGAGGGTAGACTCCCCAGAGCCCTTATAAATGCCAGGCAGGCATGGTGGCTGTTTGTAATCCCAGCACTCGAGACGCAGAGGACTGGGGATCCCCAGGACAAGCTGGCTTATTAGAGTAGCTAGAATTGGCAAGCCCTGGGTTCAGCAAGGGACCCTGTTGCAATAAATACGCAGGAGAGTGACGGAGGAAGACACCCATCAGCCGCATTAGGCCTCCACACATCCATACACATCTGTACACACTCACAATCGAGCATTCGCACACAGAGGAGAAATGAAACACCTAGAGCAGCGTTCTGTGCTCAGGGAGGAACTCTGAATGTATGACCTGCATACCGTGTTAGAGTTTGCATGTGAGAACAGTGCTTGGTGGATAAAAACACATTCTATATATTCACAGATCCTTACAGTTTGCAAAGTTTGAAGTGTGATCTTCCTAACAGACTAGTCCAGAGACTTCCATGCAGACACAAGCAGAAGAAGGCAGGCAGACCAACAGCCTTAGCCTGACTCTGCTTTGGAAGGGAAAAGCTCTTGCCCGCTGTGTTCCTGGGCACAGGAGACACAGGCAGGGCTAACAGACATGGTGGTAGACTAGGGGCTGCTGTGGGAGGACTCAGAGCCAGGCTTTTCCCTGGGCCTCTCTTCTGCTAACCTTCTCTTCTCAGTGTTATCTTTTGGTGCAGTGCTGTCTAGATTGTAGACGTGAAGCCATTTCTGCCCAGGTGCCCCCTACAGAGCCTTCTCCTGCACGCTTCATCTGCCTTTGGGCTTCACGCTGCTGCCCTACTGCTTTGGCACATGGACGGCGGACTACATCTGCGATGTGTTTGCTTGTTTATTTTTAACTTTGTGGATGGGTATTTTATCTGCATATCTGTCTGTGCATATATGCATGCCTGGTGCCCGTGGAAGTCAGAAGAGGACATCAGATCCCTTGGAACTGGAGTTACAGATGCCTGTGAGTGGCCATGTGGATGCTGGGAAACAAACCTGGGTCCTCTGGAAGAGCAGCCAATGCTCTTAACTGATGAACTGTCTTCCCAGCCTCACACCGTGGTTTTGGTTTGTTCGTGGTGTGTGTGTGTGTGTGTGTGTGTGTGTGTGTGTTTGTTGATTGGGAACCATAGTTATTTTAATTTCTTTTAAAATCAGAAGGGAAATAAATATACTTTAATCTGGATTATATTTTTCTTAGGAGGTTTTTGGTTTTGTTTGTAATGGAGGAAGGAACGAACAAATATAAACATGTCTAAGACTCATCCTTGCACGTCGTACTGTAGCCTGAGGTGACTTCCTTGGTGAGACACTGACGAAATAAGACCAGCTCAGCAGTTTGTTGGACTTAGCCAAGACTGGCGAGAGTTCGCTTCAGGGCCTGACTGGATATGCCAGCTCCTTGTTCACTGGTGTTTCTTAATCCTAGCTCTAGAGAAGGAATGTGGCGTCATGGAAAAAGGGTAGCTGCATCTGAGATGCCATCAAATGTCTTTTCTGGGACTAAGAGGAATAGCTCCAGAAACAGCTTAATAAGGAAATCTAGCCTGGTGACCGCGCCGGAAGGCTGGCTGTGTCCTATAGGACTGTGCATGCCAGTCTGTGTGGAGCTGGACACCCTCTTTGAAATCCTTAGCTTAAGAATTAATTATCTCAGGACCACTGGCATTCTCTCTTGTGCTATTATCACTGCTATCATCATTATCTTTCTTCGAATTAACCATTACCAAGAGCCGAGGGTGGAGATTTGAGGAGATTAAACATTTCAGTAGAGCTGGATGCTGGCTGGGGCAGTGACTGGCTGTCTAGAATGGTACTTGATCAATAGGAAATATTACCCTGAGATCACTGCTTAGTAAAATGTCTGAATCTTTTACTCCCCGAGGTATCATTTTGATACTTCCAGAAGGGTGCTGATGGAACTGACTGAAGGCAGCTCTGTAAGGGTTCAGTCTCCTGAGCGCCATAGGCCTCAGTTCTGCTGGGGTTTCTGTATCCACACAGTCACGGGCTTTCCCAGGCCCTGTGGCTTCTTCTAAGGAAGAACTTTCTGTTTCTATAGCAGAAAGCCACAGGTTCCCCAGCTTCCAGAGGCACAAAGAGGTAAACACCCTGCTATGAAGGCAGATCTTTTTGTGGTTTCCTGACTTTTATGATTTTGAGCCATTTCTTAGCACTTTCTCTGAGTTCCTCTGAGGAAGTGCACTGTGGTGGGCACAGACCTGGGCTAGCATTGTCCCGCGGGAGAGAGGTTTTCCTCACAGAACTTCTGTTTCAATCATTCCAAGCTGGTAGTTATTTTTAAAGTGTAACATCAGGGAAAAGAAAGTTTGGTCAGGTTCGTGCCTGAGCCTGCCACCCCTGTCAGTCCTTGGCTGGGCTCTGGAGTTCCCAAAGAACCACTTAATGGGAGCTTTGTCGTCTAACATAATTCTTAACTTCCTGGATGAATGGGCTGCTTCACTTGCACGAAGGCCGAGTTCGTAGCTCAAGTTCTTAACTCTGAAGCTGTACCAATTTCCTTCTGCAGTTCCTCCTAATATTTGTTCATTTTTGCTTATTTATTTTGAGGCAAGATCTCGTTATATAGCCTTGGCTGGCCTAGAATTTGCTGTGCAGCCCAGGCTGACTTTGAACTCATAGAGATCCACCTGCTTTTGCCTCCTGAGTGCTGGGATTCAAGGAATGCCTCTCATTGATTTTCAAGTCAAACAGTCAGTGTGTGTTGTGATTAAACGCATGCACACATGCACTGATGCAGTCAAGGTGAGTACCATTTCCAGCTTCTTACACCACTATCTGGGTTTCGAGCACTGCTACCTACAACCCTTCCTTCCATTGTTTATAAAATCCATAAGAAATCGCTGCCAGCTCCAGGCAGCCCCTCGTGCAGTGGGACCCTAGCGCTTGTCCCTCCCACCTGACTGGCAACTGTTAGCCAGCCTCTGCCTCTTTCTCCCCTCCCCTGTGTTTCTCAGCCTCTAGTATTCACCATTCTCACCCCTTCTCTGAGGTCAACCTTTCAGCTTCCCTGTGAGAACGTGCCCACTCACTCTTCTCAGGAGCTGCCTTATACTTATTTCATAACTAATGCTTAAAAAAAAAAAGTCCAAACAATCCCACGTGACTTTCTGGTACATGAAGACAAAATTTGAAAACAGTTTCATACTTTGATGAGTATTTTTTTTTCCCTTTCCACTTTCTTTGGATGGTGTCACATCCGCTTAAAACCATTCAGACAGGGATGTGGTCTAAGGCACACACAAGCAAGGACCAGCTCCTGTCAGTGTGACAACAAACCACGGCCATGATCCTCTAATGACAAACAAAACACCCGTGCTTGATACAGAGGAGATAAATAAATTATCCTCATCATTTCTTTCTTTCTTAGCGTTTAATTTGAGGAATAAATGTTCCTATATTCTGCTAAAGAACCACAGTAATTTTTCAGCATTTTTGTTACTCCAATCTCTGTAGATTTTACATTTTAAAATAAAGTATTATGGAAATTGCTGTGTAGTAATAAGGGCGGCGGGGCTGCGTCCCCGGCACCCGGCCGCCCCCACGGCTAGCTTTACCCAAAATAATTACACGGAAACTGTATTCCCCAGCACCCCCGCCGCCCTTATTACTACATTGCTGCAGAATGAGAAAAACCATGCCTTGGCCTTTTATCTGACTCCACACAGGAGCCAAGCAGGTTGAAGATAAGGGAAACCAGAGGCCTGGTGCTCGTGTCGTGGGGTCACGTCATAGGTCGTGTCGTGAGTTTGCTACCTAGTAATTTAAGCCTGCGAGATTGCTCAGAGGTTAAGAGCACTGACTGCTCTTCCAGAGGTCCTGAGTTCAATTCCCAGCAACCACATGGCGGCTCACAACCATCTGTAATGAGATCTGGTGCCCTCTTCTGGCATATAGGCATACGTACCAACAGCACGTTGTATGCATAATAAATAAGTAAATCTTAAAACAACAACCTAGTACATTTGGTCACCTTAGATCTTCATGACCACAGCTAAGACAGCAGTTTACAATTATGCCAACTCAGCTGTGACTGCCACCACCAATGATGGTGAACAAACCATGCGTTGCCGACAGGCTTCTTTCCGTTGGTTACAATCTGTTTGGTAACTTGTTAGGCCTGATCTGTTTCCCAAAACAAAGGGATTCTGTGCAGATTTAAAGCAGAGCTTTTCACTGTCTCTGACCTGTTTATGTTCTGTGAGATTTTGCAGGGCCTGAGAGCAAGGCAGACCCCCTGATTATCAGAGGGCATCCATCAGTAGACGGACATGTGATAGTTTTTACTCGGGTCCCTGTCTCAGCTCCAAGAGAGGACACAGAGAAGGAACAAAAGAGTATCAGGGTTCTGATACACAGCTTTAAAACCTTCTCATCTTTCGAGGACGTTACAGTTCTAAACTCTAGACTGCGGAGTAAGCACTTCTGACAGGAGTGAGATGGCCGAGGCTTGCCCGGCTTTCAAACGTGAAGGGACAGTGTGTTAGCTACTATACCTCTGCTCCAATTAGACCTAAGCTGGAAAGTCCAAAGCCAAAGCGATTTTTTTTTTGAGAGGAGAGGAAAGAGAGGCCAAATTGGCCAGGGAGAGTTTATTCATAGAAACAGTGTTCTCTCTTCCTCTCTCTCTTTCTCTCATTCTCTTTCACACTCCAGTTTGACTCTAGGAAATCCCTGGACCAATTACACCATTCAAAGATTTCACTTTTCCTCAAGTTAGGGATGAGCAGCAATGTCTGCTTAGGCCCCAGAGATTAAGGGAAACCTTGCAGCAACAGAGACCTGGGGCAGCCAGAAGAGGCTTGGAGCAGTTGGCAGAGGCTGGTAGGAAGAGGGAGATGGAGGGAAGGGGACTGCCACCTGGCAAGAGCAGTTTGCTACAATCATTTTTCAGTTCTGAAGATAATGGTGAGAAGTCGTCACCGCCAGGAGAGCCCCGTGGCTCTCTGCTGGCCTTCTCCTTGCCTTAGGTGGGTCTTCCTTGGTATTGCTTTAGAAGACCAACCCTAAGCAGCATACATACATGAGTATGTGGCCAATTCTGGCTTCACCCAGAGCTCCAGACAGAAATTCCCTCTTTTTTTTTCTGATAAACATTTTACAGTTGAAAGCAAGCCTCAAACCAAAGTCTCAGAGAAAGGGAAAAGACTCACCTGGCTTCGAGTCTGGAGGGACTGGAAACGGCTTGAAGCAGACACCCCTCTCTTTCTTCCTCGGATACCTTTCTTCTAGAAGTTTGCGGTGCCACTTTTTTTTTTATCCAGGCCCAGCCAAGGTGTGTTAAAGCTGAGTGATCGTTCAAAAATGTTCGCTTCTTCTCTCCCTCTTGTTTCCTTCAGCTCTTTGCTTCCAAACAAGTCCTGACAAAGGTGTGCCGAGCTTTGCCGCCCCGCTCCACCCTTCCAATTATCTGACACTTGCTGGGTTTAAAAAAAAAAAAATCTGCCTCCAGGAACCAAACTTTGCAAAAGGCAGAAGACTTCTCCTGCCCACTTATTAACCATTTATAGACCCGCGGGGAAGGGGAACAAAGGGCTGGCCCACGGGAAATACCCTTCACAGCTTCGCCCTACCTCAGGTATCTGGAAATAACCATAACCTAGCAGTTCCCTTCCTCCAAACCACAGGGTACCTGAGTCCCAGCACACACGGTTCACAGGGCATCTCAGCCCACGAGGGATCTGTGGCCAAAGTGCCCGAGGTCTGGAAGAACCACGAAGAATGTGTGTTCAAGATCTGTGCCTTTGGCCTCTTTCCCCCATTCTGGCCAAACCAGGCCAGACTCACCTGGGTCAAACATGAAGCCATGTACCAGTACATGCCTGATACGGAGGAGGTTGAGTGCTTGGTGGGTTAAGGGTTGCTTCTTGTGAAAGACATGACTTGGTATGTGACGATGACCTCAAAGGAAGCAGCATGTTGGGAATGGGCCACTGATAATGGAGAAAGATGCTCATCAAGAGGGCAAGGGACCCTCTTAATTTCAATACAGTTCTGACCCTGCGAGGGTCTGATCTTAAGTAGGGCTACATAAGTGACATTTAGATCAATACATGACAGAGATCCCCTAAGTGAGGGGAAGGGGTAGACTATTCTAGAGCCTGGGCAGAGAACAAGGCAGCTGAGAAGGCTCTGAGGTGGGACAATCATGGTGAGCTAGAGGACCAAGGATGGGGCCAGACTGTGTTCAGCACTGAGAGAATGGGGTGGTGGCCGGAAAAATAGGAAGGCCAAGTTCCCTCTTCATATATGGTTTCACAGCCTAGGCAGGTAGTGGGTTTCAGTACCTGGATAACATTCTTAAACTTGTAGTCTTTACAGGCACTCTCTGAGTGCTTGAATTACGGATCCTGGGGGAAGAGCCTGATGGAACTCATTTTCATGTGGCCTTTTATATTCTATTCATTTTACACACATTGTCTTATACAATCTTTATTGCATAAGGGATTGTACTCAAGTCTAAGAACTGCATTTCATTATTGTCCTGATTTTTATTATTATATGTATTTATTCTTTCTTTTTTTTTTAAAATATTTATTTATTTATTTATTATGTATACAATATTCTGTGTGTCTGCCTGCAGGCCAGAAGAGGGCATCAAATCTCATTTCAGATGGTTGTGAGCTACCATGTGGTTGCTGGGAATTGAACTCAGGACCTTTGGAAGAGCAGGCAATGCTCTTAACCACTGAGCCATCTCTCCAGCCCTGTATTTATTCTTTCTTTCTCTCTCTCTCTCTCTCTCTCTCTCTCTCTCTCTCTCTCTCAAAATGTACACATGCCAAGGTTCAGAGCAAACTCTTTGGAAGTCGGTTCTCTCCTTCTCCTGTGTGGGCTCGAACTCAGGCTGCCAGGCTTGGCTGCAAGCACCTTCACTTTCTGAGCCGCCGCTCGGGCCTTGTCCTTGCATTTGCAGCAGAGAGAGGTGAAGTTCTGAGTAGCTGAGCCATCAGATCAAGGGCCCTATATCTCACAGATGGTTGCACCTCTATTCCACTTGACCTTTGAGACTCCCTCCCCCTTTTATTTATTTATTTATTTTTTCAGAACAGGGTTTCTCTGAGTAACAGCCCTGGAACTAGCTCTTGTAGACCAAGCTAGCCTCAAACTCACAGAGATCCGCCTGCCTCTGCCTCCCAAGTGCTGGGATTAAAGGCATGAGCCGCCACTGTCTGGCCCTTTGACTCTTTTGCCACCTCCTTGTAGATTGTTAAATTTAAGTATACCCATGGTTGGATTGTTTATTTGTTTGTTTGTTTTTGAGATAGTTTTGTCATGATGTATATAGGCCTGGCTGGCCTGGAACTTGCTCTGTTGACCAGGATGGCATGGGACTCATAGAGATCCACCTGCCTCTGTCTTCCAAGTGCTGGGATTAAAGGTATGCGGCATCATGCCTGGCACACCCATGGTTTTGAAAAGGGGGAAAACAGGCAAACAGATCAGACTGACTGCAAATGACACCCTAAAATAAAAAATGTGCAAACAGTGGAATTTTTCATCAGTAGCACTATGATATGATATCGACAAGAAAAGATTAGATAGAAATCTGTTTATTAAGACAACTGACTGGTTTAACTATGGCTACTATTAGAGCTTGCTTAGCAACCATTGCATAAACACGGCTGGGCTTTCTGCCTTCTGGTTCCTGTAATAATGTTGCTATTCCCCACATTCCATGAAAATGTCAGGCCCTTGCCAGCTAGTCAGCCTGTGTGCCCCTACAAGCACATATGTTCCCACATGTTCATGGGTGTGTCTGAGTCGCGCTTATAGATTCTGTACTAGGTATAGAATCACACAGTTCCTCATCTCTTGATAGAAGGCCACCAGTCACATGGGATGAGGGCCCATCATAATGCCCATTTCTATCGATCACTTCTTTAGTAGTCTTTTCATTCCAATACAGTCACATTCCCGAGACTCTTGTGGCTAAGATGTCACACATGATTGTGTGGGCTTGCATGTCGCAATTCAACCTGCAAGCAACAGTACGTATGTAGGTTTCTATGATTAGGCATGTGGCAACGATTGTAAAAATGTAGTTCCAGACACTGCGAGGGTGCATGGTCTTGAGTAGGGCCACATAAGTGACATTTAGATCAATACACGACAGAGATCCCCTAGGTGAGGGGAAGGGGTACATTATTCTAGAGCCTGGACAGGTATAGAACTGTAGTAAGTATAGAATCTTTCCTTTGAGAGAGGAAGAAAAAGGAAATTCAGTGTTCACCCTCTACCTCCCCCAGGTTTTTAGTTTCCAGCTCTTGACAAAGCTGTGTGGGACTCATCGTGGTGCACAAAGAGAGGGAGCTGTGTCTGTCAATATTCACGTGCAAAACTCCTAGCACCAGGAGCGTTTTAGAGTCACTAGAAAACAGCGGAATTCCTGTTGAAATGAAGAGGCAGAGAGTCAGCTTCCGGAAACAGAAGTGACTAAGACCCCCGTGGCAGGAAAGGTGCTCATCTCCTCTCCACAGCCAGACTCATGCTGATGAATCATTAGTTAATTTTTAAAGAGATGGATTTGTTTTCATTTTATGCGCATGTAGGTACTAAGTGTGTGAGGTAACCTCTAAGGCCAGAAGACGGCCTAGAATCGGCATTCTGATGGCTGTGAGACACTGTGTGGATGCTGGGAACCAAATCTTGGTCCTTGACAACAGCAGTGAGAACTTAACAACCACTGATCATCGCTTTAGGTCCAGGAAGGAACGTTCTTTTTTTTTTTTTTTCTTTTTCTTTTGGTTTTTTGAGGCAGGGTTTAGCTGTAGCTTTGGAAACTGTAGCTCTTGTTGACGAGGCTGGCCTCGAACTCACGGAGATCTCCCTGCCTCTGTCTCACAAGTGCTGGGATTGAAGGCGTGTGACACCACTACCCAGCTAGACCCATTAATTTTTTTTATTAAATATTTATTTATTTATTTTGTTTGTTTGTTTGTTTTGAGACAGTATTTCTCTGTGTAACAGGGCTGGCTGTCCTGGAACTTATTCTGTAGATCAGGCTGGCCTTGAACTCAGAGATCTGCCTGCCTCTGCTTCTCAAGTCTTGGGATTAAGGGCGTGTGTCACCACAGTCCAGCCAATTTCTGCTTAGTTTTTGATTGACTAGGAGTCTAATCAAAGTTCCTTAAAAGGCATCTAGAAAAATAGTCCTGTCCCTAAATTTATCCAATGACTTTAAAGCAGGCAGAGGGAAAGGATGCCCACTATATGTGGTGAGCACATGCCTGCACATGTGATGCAGGTGGATATCACATGACCAGACTCTTCACTAACTGAGCAGCATAGGAACAGGTGGACTCAGCCATGACAGACATGTTTCTGAAAAGTGACAGATAAACCCAGGGCATGGTGGGCTTTTATTAAGCACCTCCTATATATATGCATCTATCTTCATAATACACATGTATCTTCATACATACACATCTCCTTTGCTTGGCTGGTTTTGATGACTGTGTCCTAAGCATCAGTTGGTAGAGATGCTTTAGTGCTTCCTCCCCTAAAGCCGCATCAGTTGATAGTGATGCTTATAGTATTTTCATCTAGAGAACCTAAACTTTGAGTACTCATTTGCACACTGTTCCTAAGAGGCAATAAAAAGTAAAGGGCATTGCTGGACTTGGTGGTGCACACCTTTAATCCCAGAGCTCAGGAGGCAGAGGCAGGCAGATCTCTGTGAGTTCAAGGTCAGCTTGTTCTACAAGTGCATTCTAGGACAGGTTTCAAAGTTATACAGATAAACCCTGTCTCAAAAAACAAAATAAAACAAAACAAAATAGCAAAAGACATTGAGAAGGGAGTGGGGGGGGGGATGACAAAATAGTTTTAAATTTTTTTACATAGTTCGTGAGATCACTCTAATCTCTATATCTGTTGATTCAACTGTTTTACTGAACAGCAAATCCACTGATTTTTAAAGAACTAATCCCCAAATATTAAAAATACAACACCAAACCCACTTTTTATATTTTGTACTTTTTTGGGCTTTGCTCTGATCGCTACTAGAACTAGGTGACAATGCGTCTGCCTGCACTTCCCCGGTGACCGCGTGTTTCTGGATAACAGAACTCATCTAAAAATAATTATGATAAGGGCATGTGTGTTTGTGGAGAAGTCTGGCCACCAGAAGGATGTGGGGGATGTAGCTGAGAACAGCCTCCTTTGCCACGTGGCTGTAGGTCTGCTTTTCCTGTGCAGAATAGTCTGTCCCCACCTGGGCTCCTGGCTTCCTTC